ACGTCCTCCCGACGTGAAAAGCGCTATATCAAATGCAAGGATTATTATTATTATTATTATTATCTTCACTTGGCTTCCCAACAAATCAAATTCAAGATCCTTGCCCTCACTTTCAAATCTCTCCACGGCCTCACCCTACCTCTGTAACCCTAACACCCCACCTCTGTAACCCTAACACCCCACCTCTGTAACCCTAACACCCCACCTCTGTAACCCTAACACCCCACCTCTGTAACCCTAACACCCCACCTCTGTAACCCTAACACCCCACCTCTGTAACCCTAACACCCCACCTCTGTAACCCTAACACCCCACCTCTGTAACCCTAACACCCCACCCCTGTAACCCTAACACCCCCCCTCTGTAACCCCCCCCCCTCTGTAACCCCCCCCCCTCTGTAACCCTAACACCCCCCCTCTGTAACCCTAACACCCCACCTCTGTAACCCTAACACCCCACCTCTGTAACCCTAACCCCCCCCCCCTGTAACCCTAACACCCCCCCTCTGTAACCCCCCCCCCTCTGTAACCCCCCCCCCTCTGTAACCCTAACACCCCACCTCTGTAACCCTAACACCCCACCTCTGTAACCCTAACCCCCACCTCTGTAACCCTAACACCCCACCTCTGTAACCCTAACACCCCACCTCTGTAACCCTAACACCCCACCTCTGTAACCCTAACACTCCACCTCTGTAACCCTAACACCCCACCTCTGTAACCCTAACACCCCACCTCTGTAACCCTAACACCCACCTCTGTAACCCTAACACCCCACCTCTGTAACCCTAACACCCCACCTCTGTAACCCTAACACCCCACCTCTGTAACCCTAACACCCCACCTCTGTAACCCTAACACCCCAGCTGGTCTTTCAGCTCAGCCCAGAGAGCAGCTGGAGCATTTGAGAGGGTTTCAGAGGGTGAGTGAGGCCGTGGAGAGATTTGAAAGTGGGGGCAAGGATCTTGAATTTGATTTGTTGGGGGATAGAGAGACGGTGTGGCCAAGTGAAGATCCATTGATGGCTGAGCTATTAGCTATTCAGTCCTGCTCTCTGGAACTCCAACCCAGAGTCCCTTTGCCTCAGCTCTCTCTTCCCGCCTTCAAAATCTGGCTTAAATCTTTTCATCTGTGTAAAGCAGTCAATGTTATAAATAAATCAAGCAGTGCTATAAAAAAGAATACTTCTTTTGATGAATTTCCTACCACTCATCAGTTTGTTTATAACAATCACTTTGAACTTTTTAATATAATTTTTCTGTGTCTTCCTCCTATATTGGAATGCTATAACTTAGGCCAGTGAATTGACTATTATTTGCCTTATTACCTAAAGTACACATTTGTTGTTCACCGACCTTAGAAAAGGAGGGAATTTGAATTACTTTTACTAATTTTATACAAAAGATTGACAATATTAATTTTGTACAAAAAAACAATGAAATGTCATCATACTAGTTAAATGTAAACAAGAACAATATATAGCTCAACCGTAGCTCAACTTAGAAAGAACAACTTTCGTGTCAGTCAATTATATTGGGAACTGATTGCATTCTTGCTGAAAAGTTTGAACATTTAAATGCGTTAAACTTGTGCGTCAACAGCATAACTCATCAAAAGAAAAAAAACTTTTTTGTTCACTAGCTGGTATACTGCACCTTGGAGCTGTAGGATATAGGTTTGATACGAAGATTTTCACATGAGGGAGTTCGAGAGAGAGAGAGGAAAAAGTCTGAGTGAGAGGGAGAAGTCAAGAGAGAGAGAGAAACCAGAACAGGCGAGAGAGAGAGAAACCAGAGTAAGAGAGGGGTGAGAGAGAGGGAAAAAATGTCGAAGTGAAGGTGACTCTTGTCGCTCTGTTTTTTAAATACATACATTTATTTGGAAATATATTTGGTACAACAAAAAAAACAACAAAACACAACATTCTGTTTTCTGTAACCCGATACAGACATTTTATTCTTATATGTTTCATTTTTGCGGAGAGGCTCTTCTACATGGTGAATGTCGTCTGATGTCGGCCTCCGCGGAGTTGGGACCCGAGCGAGTTGGATTTCACTCCTGCAGTCATGGCAGGCATAGCAAAGTAACACTGAGCCAAGCAAGTTGATGCTCACCTTTTCTATAGGACTGGGTATATGGAACTGGGAATTTAAATAGTTCTAAATGTTATAATAGTGATCCTTGCATTTGATATAGTGCCTTATCAGGTCTTCGAGACCTCTCAAAGGTGTCACAGAATATACTGTAAAGTGAATTGACTTGCATATTTTGTGAACAAAACGTTGACCGATTGTGATGATTATGCCTACCATATAATTGATGTACAATGCATTGTTACTTAATGTGTTTCTTAATTTTAAAACTAAAATAATTAATACCTGGATTTAATAATTTAATAATTCAAAGTTAAGTCGTAAAAAAACTTAACAGCGTTGAATTAACGAGTGAGTTGAATTAACACATGCATTTTATGAAATTTTGTTGAATTTTATAATCTGTTAATAAGCACAGTTTGACCATTCTTTTGTTTCCCCCCTGGATATGACTGGTCAATGATATTTTTTTCAGTGAAAATAGTCATTTCCAAGGAACTTCATTTCTCCTTCAAAACACAGTCGCTACACTTTACAGTAAAATCTTGTGAAGTGCTTTAAGACATCCTTCTCACGTGAAAGGTGCTATATCAAATGCGATAATTATTCTTAATAATAATTTGGTATTGTATTATTAATAATAATTTGTGTAATACAACTTTTTAAAGCATTACCAGTTTCAAGTTTTCATTTTTTTTCCATCATAAACTTTTAGATAAATTATTTTGCAATTGAAGTGTTTGCAATATTCAGTACAGTATTACAAAATCAAAGGAAACTCTTCAGAAACTGGAGAATGTCTTTTCTGACTTAACGTGTGGCTGCTCTCTGAGCAAAATGTAAATGCGTAACTGGGTGTGGGGTGTGTAATCCTCAGAGAGCTGTACTGTTAATTCTGGCTGTTCAGCAAGATCTTTTTTTACACACGGCTTGTGTTACACGTAATTTGTGATGTGGAGGAGATGTAAGTGCTGGAATCACCATTCATCAGTCATTTAGTTAGCAGACGGGGGGGGGGGGAGACTGGATGGTGAAAGGCTAAGCAAGTATGTTTCCCCACCCAGTTTAATGTTAGAAACCTAGTGCCTCTGTCTGTAATTACCCCCCATATACATACATACACATACATACATACTGGTGCTCCAGTAAACTGACAGCTTCGAGACTTTGCGTGCGAGTGAGTTCAGCTGGCGATGTGTGGTCTGGGTGTGTGGTCTCCAGGATGGCTGAGAGGCTGCTAACAGGGTGGATGAGAAAGACCTAGTCTGTTTACTTTAATTTGCTTGGACGCAGGAACTCTGCCCAACATTTCTGGTGTGCTGGTTCCATAAGCAGTGGCCAGTCCATCACAGCTGCTGAACAGTCTGAAATACTTTACTTGTGCTAATCGCCCTCGCAGCTCGTAGATCAATTCCAAAGTTACACATAGACTCACCAGGGGTCAGAAGTGAATCTGAAGTGTAATGATCCAAGTTGAAATTAAATATTGTATTTTTCACTTTACTCCACACAGTTTTATTTGCAATTGTTGTCAGAAGTACACAAATGCACAATTCATTTGTTCAACCGTCATTTGTGCTGCTTTCCTTTATTGCTTTTGATTCCTGTATAGTAAGAACAAATTTTACAGATTTGTTTTTATTCACTTGATAGAACCAGTTGGTCCTGTTGTTGTTGCAATAAAAACTTTCAAAATAAAAAGCATTATCTTATTATTATTTCTAACTTTGTGTGTATCATAAGTAATCAAAATCTTCAGAATATTTTCTTCCTGTCTATGTCAAACTGTATTTTTTCTAAGATCAGTATGTAAAACAACCCGTGAATGACAAGTACAGGTAAATGTTGGAAAACAAAGCACAACTAAACTGGGGGGTTGGGGGTGGGGGGGGGCAGAATATTGTAAGATTGAAGCTGTGAAGGTTTTCTAATGTTTGACTCATTTACTAAAGGTTCATCTACAAAAATACACCATCACTGCACTTTAAAGTGACTCCTGTGATGTTCTTCGAGAACACCTCCTAATATGAGGCACTATATCAAACGGAAGGATTATTATTATCTTATTTTTTTCTGCTTAAGGTTGAATAGATTTTTAAAAGGTTCCGGGTAAATAGTCTGCTCTTTATGGTGCAATAGTATGTATTGTAGACATTTTGGAGAACTATTTGTATGCATGACTTAAGTATTCTATGTTGTTTTCTGTATTTATAATATATGTGAACACAGGCATCCTGTTATGGAAGTGGAGTAAATGCAATGCAATATAAATAAACTTGCTTTTTCAAGTTGGGTAAAAATTGCATTTATTCAAGTAAAGTAAAAACATTTGCATCATTATTTTACTGACTATTTGAACACAATTTTATTCTTAAACCACAGGACTAATATGATTGTACATACTTTGTAAAATATTGACGGAATCTTTTAATTGATACATTGAACTTTGGTTCCAGTTACTGGTATTTGTAACGCATATTGATGGATATGCGTTACAAATACAATCTAACGATTGGTGGATCGCTTTCCGGGGGTAATCCCTCAAGAAAAATGTGGTCACTTATTCCACAATTGTTTGTGGGACACTGCTGTGCGCATTTGGCTGCTACATTTCACCCACAAAATACACAGTCAATCCACTTTACAGTATATTCTGTGAAGCGCTTTGAGACAACAACAGCAATTTACATTTGTATAAAGCCTTTCACATCAGGAGGATGTCCCAAGAAGACATCGGAATGATGTGATAAGGCGCTATATCAAATGCAAGGATTATTACTATTATATGTGTGGAACTCTGTCAAATTTATTTCAAGTGAAAGTGTTTATATGCTTGACTATTCCCTCACCAAAGGAAGGACTTAATTTTAATTAATTGCTTGTTCTTTTTCTGTATATTTTTTTGCAGATTTTTGTCTATTGTACCTTGGATGCTATTTTCAGAATCGATCCAGCAATTGAAGGCTGGCCATGGCTCGACCACGACAACCACCCCTGGTAACTGGGATTTCTCCTAATGAAGGATTTACATGGACAAAAGTAACAATCCGAGGGGAAAACCTGGGAACTGGACCCACTGATCTTACAGGTAAGCATCTAGTTTTATTCAGGAAAGCTGTTGTTGACTCATTTGTAAAGCCTGTGCCAGAATCTGTGGGCACCATTGAGGAAAGTTAGGTGACAATATGAAATGTTCATATTGATGGACTTACTCTAAAGTCTGCTGTATAACTCGCATCTTAATGCATTGCTCCTAAACGGTAAGAAAAGAGATTCTTATACACTTTCAGCTGAAGGGGAAACGTGACTTAATAATAATAATAATAATAATAATCCTTGCATTTGATATAGCGCTTTTCACGTCGGGAGGACGTCCCAAAGCGCTTCACAGAATATACTGTAAAGTGAATTGACTGTATATTTGTGGGCGAACGCGGCAGCCAATTGCGCACAGCAATGTCCCACAAACAGTCGTAGATTGAAAATGACCAATTTATTATTGTTTTGGGTTTTTGGAGGGATTATTATTAGGCGTGTGGAGTAAGGAAACTTGCCCAAGGTTTCGCCCTGCCTGGAAATGAACCCAGGTGTCTTGCTTGCAAAGCAAGTGCTCTAACCACTGAGCTACAGGACTCCACGAGCTCCACGGTCCTAGCTGGACTTGTATTTGAGGTTTGGGGGTTCTTTAGAGATTTCAAGTCGCTTTAAAATCTTCATTGCCGCAGAAATAAGCTCTAATTCTGAAGCTTGTTTTGTCCCTCGTGACTTCCTGGATAGCGGAAGTTTGTGCCGTTTGTAGTTGCAGACAGCTCAGGTTTACTCAGAAGTGTTTTTAATTCACCAAGGCTGCCAGTGAATAAATACTACAATTGTAGTCAGACGTCAAGCATGCCAACTTGGCTTTTTGGTCAATGTTAATTCAAATAACTGAGAAGAAACCACATTTGTGTGGTTGTGATCGAGGATATGACCGATTCCCAACAACCGCAGTTGAGGCTGGAATGATTTAACTAACTACTTCCAATGGAGCTGGATCAGTAAGTTTCTTTCTCATTTTTTAGGTTGATCTTAAAACTTGGGTATCGGACTCTGGAACCATAATACTGCAAACATTCAGTATTAAATGGGAGCTTTCAATTTGAGTGTAGGTGGTTACTGACTTCATTCCCCTCAACAGCATCGCACCATTCCAAAACTAACTAAACACAAAGTACTCATGCAGATTGCCTGTGTGAAAAAGCATGCAAATTCTGAAAACCAATGAATGTTTTGAGGTCAAAGTGCTTAAAAAGTATTTGCACTTTATGGATTAGCTTACAGTTCAGTTTGCATGGTTGTCGTAATAATTTTTTTTTGAAATTTGAATAATTTCTGGGACTCCCTCAAGCAATTTTTTTTGTGTGCGCATCACTCACACTTCTAGGTTTTGCTACTGTAACTCGAAATTTAGATCCTTCCTGTCTTCCTGCTTGATTGGGGTGATACATGTTGTGGTCCAGCTCACAAGCATCTTAATGGATGCCATTGAGTTTGTATCTTTGGTATCCCGTCAGAAAGTGCAATTGGATGATACAGAAAGTGTTCACTCCTTCAATTTACCTTTCCCACCTCTCCCAGATGATCCTGTTTCCTTTCTTTTTTAAAAGGAAGATAAAAATCAAAGGAATACAAAATTTAATTAAATCGCATCTATAAATTTCATATTAGGTGGTTAAAAATATATGTAACTGTTTTCGAGGCTCGAGGTTTCCGAGGCTTGAAATTTCCAGTAACTGGGGGCAGGGAAATCCTCGCACTCAGCTCCTGTTCACTCTGCAAGTCAAAGCCCTAATGGGTAGAGTGGTCCTAGCTGGACAGACGGTGGGAAGTTACTACACGATGCTATCAATGGCAAGCTATGAGGTTTTAGCTGGTTAGGCTCCAGCAGTACCCCAACGCACATTCTGGGGTCCCCAAGCCTTGGCTCTTGCCAACCTACGCCTAATACTTTCTGGAATTAGGTAAGCAGGAGGCATCACTCCAGGGAGAGAGTGTGCATTCCATTTCAGTAATCTTTCTCTGGAATTTCCATGTGGAGGTGGGAAGGCATAAGAATCACATTTGTAATTGTGACATTTGAATATCTCAGTACCCTGTAATTTCACTTAGGTAGCAATTTAGTCTATAATTGACTGCTAAGGATAATTTACAAAAGGTAAAAATTAACAGCAAAGAATTTACATTCCCTTTTCAATTTTACTCCATGTAAATTTTGCTCTGAATACATTTTACTGTAAATTATCTTAAAAGCTCACACCATCTTTAAAAGAAACATTCTGGATGGGAAGAGGGAGCTTATGTGAAAGTTCTTAGAAAGTTCAGGATTTATTCTATTTATGTAGCATTTCAGAGAATCCAGAATTTAGAAATATTCAATTGCTGAATTCAGATGCAACTTTGAAGCTATTTTCTCTCATTCTTAAAGAAAAACTTCTAGAAAAGTGGCTTCAAATTTAAGGAGCGATTCACCAAATTCTGGACACTGAATTATTATAGAAATAGAGTAAATCTGGACCCAGGTGGAATTTCCATGTCGACACGATACACTTCCGGTTTCTGGCAGGAACCTCTGTTTGTGCCTCTTTTGTTTTACACTTTCTCTTGTTCTCCCATTATAAATGTAGTCTCAAATAAAGTTTAATCAAATTTCTCTATAAATAAGGGACAGTGGAAACTCATCCCACTAATATGGGTGGCTTGTCAGTTTTTTTTTGTAGCTTTTTTCATTTCAACATTGTGTCATTATAGTGCAATAATACAGACTCATGAGTGAGGTCAACCCTCTAATGTGGTCCAAATTCCTCAGTCTGTTTACTGACCTTTTTCATGATTTTCCACTGTTCTTAGTGTAAACATGTTTTAGTGTATGCGCATCAAACCCAAATTCTGCCATTTAGTAACTATTCCATTTTTTAAATCTAGTTCTACATGTTTTTCTATTGAGATGATTGATTATTCGGACTCCATTTAGCCACAATCAGAATGTTACTTCTATGCTTGTTTTCAATAGGGGAAGATAGCACTGATGTACTCTTATATTTGAAAAGATATGTTCCCGCCCCCAGACAAGCAATACTAATTAAATGTAATTAAATTCACAGATCCCTTGACATCCATGACATACTGAACAAATACATTATGTGGTATAATTGTACCTTATCATCTGAAAATGTCTCTAAGCATTTCACACAATGAGTAATTTCTGAAAATGACTTATGTTGACAAACACGGATAAGTTGTGACCATAACATACTGCAAACAGCAGTGACATGATGATCCAATTTATCTGGGGTTTGGATAAGGTAGAATATTAGTCTGGGAGAATTCTCTGCTCTTTTAAAATAGTGGATGTTTAATGTCCACCTGAATCACCAGAACAGGGAGACAAATCATGTAAAACAATTGGAATTTTTCAGTTTTAGGAATACTGTGGATAGATCTATTCGATTTTTACTTTTTTCCAATATTACTTCTCGGTCAATAATCTGCTGCATAGGGTCTTATTGCCACTAGGTACCTGTAGTATAATGGAGCAAACACCATCCCTAATTAAATGCCACAATGTATATGATACAAAAGAACTGGGCTATATATATTATCCTATTGGATCAATCTAAACAGACCCCACTGTTGGCAGCACAGTTTGGTCTTCTCTAAATTATAATAATAACAGTCACATTTGGTATAGAGACTTTCGTGTTGGATGTCCCAAAGCACTTCACTGGATTTACTGTGAATTGGAATGTAAGCGAATGCAGCAGCCAACTGGCCACAGCAATGTTCCACAAACAGCCATGAAATGAATGGCCAATTTTATTTGGAAGATAGTATTACTATTATTATTATAATTGTTGTGTTCATAGGCAACCGTAATATCCTTTTCTCCCTTGGTTATACCACCTCCGCTTTGAAACCTGTTTTCCACATAATAAGTTGACTTATTACAATTAATAAGTCTGTTATGATATTATATTATATCTTCCCAACATAAAAGGTGCTATATTATTGGTATAGCGCCTTTCATGTTGGGAGGATGTCCCAAAGCACTTCACAGGATTTACTGTAAAGTGGAATGGCTGTGTAAGCGAATGCAGCAGCCTAATTGCACACAGCAATGTTCCACAAACATATAGTAAATCCTGTGAAGAGCTTTGGAACATCCAACATGATGCATACTGATATACCAATAATATATCATTATTATAAATAATAATATATTTATAATATAATGATGGCAATATGCGATCTACTGTTTCTGGTCACACATTTTTGAAAATAAGATCTTAAAGTGAAACATTAATCCAAAATTCTGAATATGTCTTCAAGCACCAGAGAATAGATGAAAGGTAGACCACATATTGTCACCATTTTCATATTTGATATAGTACCTTTCAGGACTTGTGGAATCCTGTAACTGCAAGCGAGAGACTTGGGTTTGATTCCCTGCAGGGTAAAACCATAACCAAGTTTCCTTACTCTATATGCCTGATAATAATCGCTCAAGAAAAAAAACAATAATAAATTAGTCACTTCAATCCACGACTGTTTGTGGGACATTGCTGTGCGCAATTGGCTGCCGCGTTTCACCCACAAATGTATAGTCAATTCACTTTACAGTTTATTCTGTGAAGCGCTTTGAGACGTCTAGAAGACGTGAAAAGCGCTATATCAAATGCAAGGATTATTTTATTATATTTCATGTCAGACAGACGTTTCAATCTGATAGTTAGTTAGTTGCTGTAAAACGCAACCCAATCAACGGCATGTACTGGAGCAGACATTTAGACATACACAGATTGCTGAATTCCAGATGTGAGTGTCGAGTCAACCTTTACCTGGTGTACGCTCTGTAGCAGTTGACTGAAATCAGGAACTCAGAACCTGGACCATCATAGTTGTAGAGCTGCAACTTTGGGGTTTGAGGCTTTCAATGCTCTGCATCATTCACCATTTATAAGTCCTTGCTTAAAACAACAACGACTTGCATTTATGTAACTGTGTTCACGTGGGATAGCGCCCCAGAGCGCTTGACAGTGATGGAGTCTGACCCTGAGCCAGGAGGGGGAGGGGGGAGGTGACTATAAGCACAATCAAAATCACATAATAATAATAATAATAATCCTTGCATTTGATATAGCGCTTTTCACGTCGGGAGGACGTCCCAAAGCGCTTCACAGAACACACTGTAAAGTGAATTTACTGTATATTTGTGGGCGAACGCGGCAGCCAATTGCGCACAGCAATGTCCCACAAACAGTCGTAGATTGAAAATGACCAATTTATTATTGTTTTTGGTTTTGGAGGGATTATTATTAGGCGTGTGGAGTAAGGATTGCCCAAGGTTTCGCCCTGCCTGGAATTGAACTCAGGTCTCTCGCTTGCAAAGCGAGTGCTCAACCACTGAGCTACAGGACTCCACAAAGTAGCACATAGTCTTAAGGTGCTACTCCAATGCAGTACTCAGAAGTGCCGTCCTTTTTAAACCGAGGTTCCGTCTGCCTGTTCAGGTGGACGCTACACGTGAAGGGCGTTATATAAATGCAAGTTGTTGTTGGGCATTAAGATGCCATGGAATTATTTGAAAAGAGAAGGGAGTTTCTCCCAGTGTCCTGGTCAACAAATAAAATTGGTCACTTACATCATGGGTGTCTCTGGGACAGTGCTGTGCACATACTGGCTACCACGTTTCACTCACAAAAATACAGTCAATCTACTTTTCAGTATATCCTGTAAAGTGCTTTGAGACTTGGCGTGATAAGGCACTATATCAATGCAAGTAAATAATAATAATAATCCTTGCATTTGATATAGCACTTTTCACGTTTTCTAGACGTCTCAAAGTATTATTATTAATAATAATAAAAACAACTGCCATTTTCTTTCTATGACCAATAGTAGTTGGAGGATAGAAAGAAAAATGTCAGTTGTTTTCATTATTATTATTAATAATACTTTGAGACGTCTAGAAAACGTGAAAAGTACTGTATCAAATGCAAGGATTACTGTTATTTTATTGTTATGTGGTGATACATACCTTTTATTCATAGGTAGACTTAATATCTTTTTATCCCTCAGTCATGCATCCTGACTTTTTGAAACCTGTTCACATAATAAGTTGACTTTCTAAAAAAAAATTAAAGTTGGGTGTTTGTTTCATTAATAAACACAAGGTGCGTGTGAATTGGTGGTAACTCTTATAATTTGGTCAGGGAAGGAGTTTGCAATGATCACAAACAACTCCTGCTTCACTTTAGCAATGTATGATGCTGTCTCAACCTCTTGACCAGTCTTACCAGTCTTGTAAATCTCAGGGGTGCATTCTCTCCTGCCTTCCCCTCTCTCACAAACATATACTTCATGCATGAATGTAGTGAGTCAAGTTATTACACTACGTTTAGGAATATTAAAATAAATTTATCCCTGTACATTTTAGGTCTAACGATCTGTGGACACAACTGCCTGTTGACTGCAGAATGGATGTCTGCAAGTAAGATTGTCTGTCGAGTTGGACCAGCTAAAAATGATAAGGGAGACATAATTGTGACAACTAAATCCGGTGGAAGAGGAACGTCAACTGTGTCCTTCAGACTGATGAAGCCAGAAAAAATAGGTAAACAAATTAAATATGTTCCACTGAAATTTTTTTTATATAAACATGACAAAAAGATTTCCGTCTTCACTGCCTGGAAGTCTCTTCTGCAACGTGGAGGCAGAAGGGGTGAGGATTCGCAAAGTTAACAAAGATTGAGTCCCGCAGGTACTTGGCGATATCACAGACTGACTCTCTTCAGTCGGTCCCCAATCTCCGTTTCTATTTCTATCTCCATATGCTTGTGGTCAAAGGAGGCCCATGGCGCCCAGCAAGAGGTTGACACTGACCATTTGGAGTCCAAAACAAGCTTCAGAGAGTCAACCTGAACCACATCTGGGTACTTGAGCCATCCATTTTTTGTGATTTTATGCACAGCGTTTTTTGTCAGTCTCTGTCTTTACTGCTCATCAGGTTTCTTGTTCAGGTGTTAAAATCAACAAATTGTTATTGGTAACCAAAGTATTGACCGACCTGGCAACCTGTGTGGTTTCCTTAAATCTTAGTTCTGTGCGTCTCTTTCAATCTAGCATTTTGCCTCATCTCTTACATTATCACAATATAGAAAAAGGACTTGTACAACCTTAAGAAATGTAACTAGTAAAAGTTTGTAGAACTTGTAAAAGACCATGGGAATAAGTGTCCAAAAGTTTTCCAAACAGTTCCCAAAATGTTGTATTTTGCCTCTGATTTTCATCAAGAAAATGTAACCGCAATTTTTTTTGGCCTTTTTGCATCAGGATTTTATTTAACAGAAAATAGCAAGAGAAATATAATTTAATTAAAAAAATTAAATATTAATTGTTCAAATACTCAAGTTTAGGAATATAACTGTAGATCCAACTCATCAACTCTGAGTATTGAAAGACCTTTTCAAAAGATGCATAGCTTTGTAACCTTTTCAACAAAACACTTTTTGTAAACTTTCAGTATAATATATATCCAATATGCTACAGAAGTATACATAATCACAAAGCATCATTTCAACCAAATGTCCTTGGAATTTTTTTTGAAATCCGGGTGCAGAAATACTAACCCTGTTGATAATGATTTAAATTATTCCACGATACATATATAGAGGCAAAACAGCATTTTTCTAAATTAGCTTTTGTACTGTAGTATACTTTATAAGGACTGTTAAAACGTGTATACAAATGGTGGGACATCAGTTATATGGTTAGCAGGAATGCACTGTTTATGTTGTGTCTAAAATTAGACTTTACTAAAGGCTGAGTCATGGGATTTACATAAGAATGAAAAGATGCCGCACCGTTTGAGCTTACTCCCAATGGGTCAGACCAGGAAGGGCTGAGGTTTCAGCCCCAGTCTGTACTGTTAGCTGATCTCCGCTAATGCTACAATTGACCACGGGCTAGATTATAGATAATTGGCTATCGCTCCAGCTCTTCTCACTCTCCAGTGTCTAGGTTGTGGGTAACGGGTGAAGTCCAGCCAGGAATTCACTATTAATACCCAATAATCGAGCAGCAAATGTTAGTTTATTGAGAATCTCACATCAAATACCTTTACTTGCCTGAGATAGTTAAGCATCACTACCATCTGTACAACAGTATGTGGACAGTCTGAGTCACTCTCTTCAGCATAGGAACAGTTGGGGAATCATTGCAGGAGGGAAAAAGTACACCTTAATTTTCGCTTAATTTAGAAAAAGTTGCCTCTACTCTCATTTTATTTGAGAGTAGAACTCTTTATTCTGGTTGTATGTTTTGGGTAATCCAGTCTCATGTTTGTGATTTGACCCAGTTTAGCTTAGATCTAATAATAAGTTTATGATGTTTTTATACTGACTGTTCATAGTGCAACAAATGGGGCCAGTATAAATGGTATTTTTGCAGCTTGTGCTACTGTTGAGTTAAAATCAATTTCAACATTTGTAAAATAACAGTAAATGTTATTTACAAGAAATGTGAGTCTGAGACATTAACCGTTTGTTTGAAATAACTTTTTTTCATTGAATTGATTTAATTTATACAGCCGTATTTTGTAAAACAGAACGCAAAGCAGTGCACAATGCAATGATGGATAGAAACCACTGCAAAAAAACTGCTTCTGTGAACAGATGGGGAGAATTTTTACTGGCTCAATGCGTGGGTGATAGACCAGCTCCTTACGTGCCTTTTTTTCAATGCTGGACTTCATTCACTTGCTATACATTCTTGTTTTCCACCAGGCATCCTGGATCAGTCGGCTGTGTGGGTTGAAGAGATGAACTATTACGACATGCGCACTGATAGGAACAAGGGGATCTCTCCCTTGTCTCTGCGTCCAGCAAATCCTCTTGGCATAGATATAGACAAGTAGGTATCAAATCCTGCAGCTGAGTGTTTTCTGGGACAAGTATATTCTTGTGGCACAGTAAGAATTCTTTCTGAAGATGCCACATATTTTAACACCCATGTCTTAGCGAGTGGACCTAAGTGCGATTCTCAGCAGGGTGAAACGTTGGGCAAGTTTCCTTACTCCACATGCCTCTATTTACCTAGCAGTAAGTAGGAACCTGGTTATTAGTCGATTGTCAGATCGCTTTATGGGGGGTAATAATCCCTTAAAAAATAATAATAATAATAATTTGGTCACTCAATCGACAACTGTTTGTGGGACACTGCTGTGTGCAATTGGCTGCTGTGTTTTGCCCACAAAATATACAGTTAATTCACTTTACAGTATATTCTGTGAAGCGCTGTGGGATGTCTCAAAGATGTGATAAAGAGCCATGTCAAATGCAAGGATTATCATTATTAGGCAGATCTCTGTGTTGTGTCATTCACCTTATGTTACAAATGCTGTAGCACATGTAGATGAAAACACAGTATCAGTTGTTGATGGTTTAATTTATTTTTTTATTCTCAATCTTTTAAACATTCCCTCCCTGTACTTGCATCAATGAAGATATGATGCAGTATTCACCAACCCATTCTCCTTACTGAGGGGAGATTGTGTAGGATGGGGAGGGGAAAGAAAATAGTAGTTACATTTGCAAAATTAAGAAGCAAAGCTTTCTTTATTGGGAGTGTAATTTAATGCAAGAATGGCGTAATACATGTTAATAAAAATGTTGTGCTTCAGATGCCTTTTTCTATATTATAAGTCGATCAGCCTAAGCCTGATGATTGCTTAAAAGTCTAGCAAGGACACCTCAAAAACATATTTTAACCCCCATGTCTTAGGCAGATCTCTGCTATGTATTTCACCTTATGTGGAGTCCTGTAGCTCAGTGGTTAGAGCACTCGCTTTGCAAGCGAGAGACCTGAGTTCAATTCCAGGCAGGGCGAAACCTTGGGCAAGTTTCCTTACTCCACACGCCTAATAATAATCCCTCCAAAACCAAAAACAATAATAAATTGGTCATTTTCAATCCATGACTGTTTGTGGGACATTGCTGTGCGCAATTGGCTGCCGCGTTTCGCCCACAAATATACAGTCAATTCACTTTACAGTATATTCTGTGAAGCGCTTTGGGACGTCCTCCCGACGTGAAAAGCGCTATATCAAATGCAAGGATTATTATTATTATGTTACAACTGCCGTAGCTCAATTTCCATCAGCAGCAGAAGCTGCTATGAGGCACCAGAATTGAACAAACCTTCAGTTGAGGACTGAAACGCATTAGCTACTGCATTTAACTATATAACCATCGTAGACATTCACAGCAACCCATTATGTGAAGCATTTGAGGTGCTTCAATATGATAAGCTGCAATATGTCAATATCATAGGTGTGTATCAGCTGCCAGTCTTATTACAATATGAAGTGTAAGTGTGATAATTAAGATATGTAGTAGAGTTTCCGTTTATGGGGACCTTAAAGGGTAACTTTTTTTTCCCCCTTTGAACCTGATAGTGACCAGATTTCCAATCTCACTAAAACTATATCAGTCTATCGAGTGCACTTAATGTTACCTTTTCCAGGAGGTTCCATTGAGGTTCTTTTTCATTTCAAATGCAGAATAATTGAACTCTCGAGTCCAAATCGTAAGTGATTATTTATCATTGTCACAATTTGGAGACTTGAAAATGTTGATGGTTTCTGAGAAACAGCTAAGTTTTCCATCAACTCCAATTTTCTTAAAAATATTATGAAAAGGTGGGGGCCTATTATTGTGGAGCAAGATGAATTATTGTGTGGCAGTGCAGAATACATTTGTGCAATTTAAAGCTGCCCTTTGTCAGTCAGCCTGTAAAAAAAATCAGCTGTAATTGAATTGCACAGTTCAATAATAGCAAGCAACAAAGTAAGCTGGACAGAGTAATCTGTTTTGCTTATAATTTGTTTAGGTCAATCGAGTGACTGACACACGTGGGAACCCAACACCCTGCTCGAGTATCCAAGCCAGACTCAGTTCCGCATGTGTGTGCAATCTATACATGACAATTTCCCTGTCTGGAGTGGAATGGTGTACTTTATTTCTGGAGGAACGCAGCCTGTTTATCTAATTCTGGAGTGTATTTGGCGCAGGTTGGCAAGAATCAAGGCTTGTGGACCCCAGCCTATGCCTTGGGGTGCTGCTGGAGTTTACCCAGCTAAAACTGTGTAGCTTCCCACTGTTTGTCCAGTTGGGACATCCTTCCCTTTAGAGCAGTGGTGGCCAACCTGTGACTCGCGGCTGGAAGTGGCCCACACGGCCGTCAAGAAGCGCTACCCCCAAACCCCCCAATTCACCCCTCACTCACAGTGAAGATTCACATGAGTCTAGGTAGATTCATGTTTGACCGGCAGTGTGTTTTCAGTTATTTTTCTTGACTGAATATTTCTTAATTTATGGCATAAATCAAGAAATGTTCAATCAAGAAATATTATTTTGATGGCCGACATAAAGGTTGGCCACACTGCTTTACTTTTAACTGCAGTTTTTTTTCCGCAGACTTTTACTTGCAGGTTAACAGGAGCTCAGTGCGATGAATCCGTGCTCCCAGTATTTTGTTATTATGATTCGATTGAGACGTTAAACCACAGTCCCGTCTGCCTGTTCAGATGGATGTTAAAAGTCCCATGGCACTATTCGAAAAGAGAAAGGAGTTCATGCAAACAATCCCCCAAATCAAATTAGTCTTCATTTAATGGATGTTTGTGGGACATTGCTGTGTGCAATTGTGCTGCTGTGTTTGCCTACAATTACACAGTCACTGTACTTCACAGTAAACCTTTAAGCACTTTGAGACTTCCTTCTGACGTGATAAGGTTCTATACCAAAATCAAGGATTATTATTATTATAAAGGTCACTGCTTGAGCTGATGCATTAGCTTGGATTCACACCGTTCCCAATCCTGCCTTATTTAGTGCTAAACCAAGCAGGCAAACCTATTTACAAGACTGCACAGTAGTATTTATTTAAAAATAATCATGTTGAGGTAGAATGTTAACCGTTTGATTGAATTTGGTAACTATTTGCACTGTTACTGTGGCAGGAAAATGGGATGAAGGGAATGCTCTTGAAGGAGCCGGCACAGACCCAATGGGCAGAATTTCTTCAGTGCTGCAAATTTCTTTGGTTCTCTGAAGCATAGTTTCTTACTTAAAACGTGTACAGCAGTGTTCCAACTTTTCTTATCAATCGCTGCCAATGTTTTCATCAATTGTCAATCCAGGTGACTGTTTTGTGTTACATCCTTGCAAAATTTTGGATTTCCCTGTCTCTCTGCCTTTACAGTTCTCTGTGCGGTGACTATACATTGAACATCAATGAAATCTTATGTGTTGTTTCATGCAACAACTTCTCACCTAATTTGCCCTGTGTATGATAAGGATTACTCTCGGGAGTAAGCCTTCCTGCTGACCTGAAAAATAAAATAACATTGTTACCCAAAGAGTATGAAATATCACTAGGAAGTTAACTAGTTGTTGAATCACTGATGTTTCCCATTAAAGAACCTGACTTTTCCAAATACTTAAAATTTCCATTGTGTCATTCCCTCTAAATTCAGATGCATCTGATGAATCTCCAAGCAGCGCATACTTTGTTTTGAGGTTTGTTCATTGTAATACTTGACCTTTTCAAACCAATTGTGCAGACACTGGTTTCATTGTGGAGGAGTGCAAGAAGAGGTTAAAAAAAGAAAGGAAAAATAGGATATGTGGAAACTCACAGCAGATCGATCAGTGTCTGAAAGAGAGAGACAAGTTAACATGCAGAGAGCGACAGTTGCAAATAAGTTGAAGTTTCTGTCTGAAGCTCCAGTTTAACCTCTCGTTGACCGTGGTAACTTATTGGCCTTAAATAGGACATTTTTACTTTCCAAAACTCCACAAACCAATGATTGCTCTTTGGCTCAGTACACTTGTACTTTATACAATGGTTATAGCTTCCCAACATTTTGTGGTAACCGTTACAACATACATATTTCTTCTTGTTGTGAAACACTGGGTGACAGGAGTACAAGTCTCTCTCTGGAGTGCGCCAGCTTCCCAACATGTGCTGTGTTATATGACATCACTAGACACGTCTCCACAGCAACCAGACACCGCAGCAATTTAGTCAAAGAGGGGATTGCACAGCCATCGAATAAATACACTGTAATAAATACCCACGCACACCACCCACAATGACTGGTGGGAGAGGGGAAATGAACAAGCCATAAGCTATAGCTTAAAATAACCAGAAATGCGTTATTTAGCACTTCCAATGCCAGTTTATTGCTTCGTGTTGCTCCATTGGAATGTAAGATTTATGCATGTGAACAGATTCCGACTGATGTTAAATCGATGCGTTCAACTAATTTCTGGGGGGTCAGCCAGGTGTCTCAACACATGCGGAAACCTATCACTATGCATAAGAATTTCCAAACCAAACTGAGAATTCCATGTATCCCTCTTAGACGCGAAAATCCCAGAGATAGGTTTTTGGAATGGAATGCGCACTCTCTCCCTGGAGGGACGCGTCCTGCTCACCTCAGCTCCCGTTAACCCTGCAGAGGGTAGGGTGGTCCTGGCTGGACAAGCAGCGGGAAAACTTGCAAGACAGTGATATCAATGATGTTAGCTGGTTAGACTCCAGCAGTACCTCAATGCACACTCTGGGGTCCCCAAGCCCTCCTGATTGGCTCGCGTCAGCGCCTCCGCACCTCAGGCGCTGACAGCATCAGCATCCAAGGCTGCACTCTCCACCTCTCAAAGTCAGTCAGGAACCTCGGTGTTCTGTTCAACCCTGAGATGTCCGTTCTCCCTCATATCCGCACCACAACTGGCACCGCCTTCCATCACCTCCGGAACATCGCCAGACTACGGCACTACCTCACCCCTCATGCGGCTGAAACCCTGGTTCACGCCTTTATCACCTTAAGGCTGGACTATGGGAACTCTCTCCTCGCCGGCCTTCCCGCCACCTCCCTCCACAAGCTGCAGGTCATTCAGAACTCTGCAGCTCGTGTACTGTCCCGCACCAGGCTTCGCGACCACATCACTCCCACCCTCGCTCGCCTCCACTGGCTCCCCATCCCCCAGAGGATCGAATTCAAGGTCCTCACCCTCACCTACAAGGCCATTCACGGCCTCGCTCCCTCCTACCTCTCTGACCTACTATCCCCCTACTTACCTGCCCGTACCCTCCGTTCCTCTGGCTCAAGACCTTTCTCTTTGACCGTGCCTTCAGCTCCCCTCTCGACTCTCTACCCCCTCCTCGCTCCCTCCCTTCCCTCCCCTCACACTGACCATTTCCCCTCTGCTCAGGTCCTGACCCAACTGTACAGTTGGGTCAGGACTGTACAGTTGGGAGTCCTGCGGCTCAGTGGTTAGAGCACTCGCTTTGCAAGTGAGAGACCTGAGTTCAATTCCAGGCAGAGGGCGAAACCTTGGGCGAGTTTCCTTACTCCACACAGAGCCTAATAATAATCCCTCCAAAAATCAAAAACAATAATAAATTGGTCATTTTCAATCTATGACTGTTTGTGGGACATTGCTGTGCGCAATTGGCTGCCGCGTTCACCCACAAATATACAGTCAATTCACTTTACAGTGTGTTCTGTGAAGCGCTTTGGGACGTCCTCCCGACGTGAAAAGCGCTATATCAAATACAAGGATTATTATTATTATTATTACTACAGCGCCTTGGAATGTCCTCCCGACGTGAAAGGCGCTCTATAAATGGAATCTTGTTGTTGTTGTTGGCTCTTGCCAACCTGCGCCTAATACTTTCCAGAATTAGGTAAGCAGAATGCATCCCTCCAAGGAGAGATAGAGCTTTCCATTTCTATGAGTATCCTATCAATATCTAGGATTTCCATGTGTAGGTGGGATGCATGGAACTCTGTTTGATTTGGATACTCTTAAGCACGATGGATCAGTTTCTGCATGTGTCCGACGTGTGGCTGACCCCCAAAAAAGTATGCAGGAGCAGTATTGTCAGTTACAGCCTCCCGACTACTGCTGTGACTGAACTCCGCAAACTCAGGACAGACCAAGGCAATGGACCTGGGTATCTCCCTGGTCTGACTGGCTCACTTGCTCCTTGGATATACTCGTGGGCTCACTGGGGAAGCCACAACCATTTTTTCCCCCAAAAATAAAGTTGCTAAATTGTTACGTGCCAATGAGTCCATTTGCAAGTAAAACAACTGCTGAATGTTTATGTAACAGTGGTTGCACAGAGTTTTCTTTCCAGCCAAAAGCAACCACTTTTACTGAAGAAGTTGTCAACTCCATTTCAAATTAAAGACTGGGAACTTCAAAGATCACGGCATCCCAGTGATTGCAGCTGATCTATTTAAAATTCAGTGCCTCACAGACTTGCTATGTATGCACTGCTGCACAAAACATTGGCCGAGGAAGTTAGCTAATGAGGTTTTTTTTCTTACTGGTGGTTTGTTGGCCTTCATTAGCAAAATGGTCAGTTTTCAGGTCAAAGGAGCATTATATTTAGCTTGCTGCATCCATGTATTCAACTCAAATTTTATGAAGCTTGTTATGGCTTTTACATACATGAAATATAATCACTTTCGAAGTACTCCAGTTTTAACCAAAGCCTATTTCTTCAAGATATGTTCCGTTATAATAATAATCCTTGCATCCGTTGTAATAATAATCCTTGGATCCTTGCGTCTTCCAGACGTCTCAAAGTGCTTCAAAGAATATGCTGTAAAGTTATGGAGCATATAGCTAAAATAAAATCGTATTTAAAATGCCATTGCATAATTATTTAAGGAGATTTTAAAAAAATTGTGCTTTTTAAAGTTTCATTAGATTTGTATTGTCAATTCTTCTTAAAACGAACTGGGCCTAAGGATTAAACACTTGCAGGTTCTGTAAAGTTATTAGTTTAAAAGTTGCATAGCAATTTAACTGTTCAACATGTCTGAAATGTTTTTTGTGCCAACCAGCTGAAAATATGAACGGTTTGCTGAACTTGGCATTTTAATTTTGAAATCTATCAGTGCTCATATTTCTTGTCTACATTACTATTGAATGCTTCAGGGCCCCAGGGTGTCTATAGAGGTTGGTTTGCCCTTTGTGGGAATGCAGTTGGCTCTTAGATCACTGTCCTTGTGCTGCCTGGAGTGGCAGGTATGCTCTCTGCTCTCGCTATAATATCATTGTGCCCTCACCCTTCCAGGGATGTATTTTGCCCCGTAAAAGAGGAAAGAGTAATTTATCTGCATGTATGCATTTTATTTCTACCACTTAAAACTGCACCATAAACTGAAGTACTGCTTCAGTTTAAACGTTCTTCGTAGATCATGGCAGACACAGATGTCAGGATCTCACAAGCATACAGTGTTGCACAGACTAACAGTATGGGTGTAAATCATCATGTCAGCATGAGTTCTCTGCACAGATCATTAGCACAGATCAAACTTGTGTACCAGAGTGGATTTCAACATATAAAATATGGCTGGTCCCACCGAGCAAGGTCTCCACCCACAATACTCAGCCACTGACAGAGCATTTCATCTTCCAATGTTTGTTGTTTCATTAAATTACGCTCAAACAAACACAATCTCACAGTGCCACCCCATGGTAGATAGTCTGCAATACTTCAAAGGCACATTTTTAAATGCGTGTATTGTACAATTTTAATGTTGGCTCAATATAACTTGAGTTGCATGATGAGTGGAAGCATTTTAATCCCATTTTTAAACCACAGATATGGTGTTATCAGATTGTTAATTAGGTTTAAACTTGTGATTTAAGACATAAGTTGCCCCAGCCTTTAGATTTCTACTGCCTTAATATTATGGTTTGAAAGATGTAAGATTTTGAGCGAGAGAGTGGCAGCAAAATCAATGCTGAAGAGAGTTTAACGTGATACAGTGAGGAGTTGCACTTACATGGTACTTGATATATTCGAGACACAATCGGCTGTGTAATATAAAGGGAAAAGTGAACTCCAAGTGAACCTACATTTGTAATGGTTTCAAGCACTTACATCTTGTCAACTTGATCTTTGTGGGCTAGAACACGTTATTAATGTATTCTACTCTATTCCTCATCACTTTTATTACACTACATTTGGATAACTTATTTTTTTCAGAGTCTTCACTCGCTTTCTTTATTCTCTCCCCCCTCCCCCCCTCCGTTCTCTCTGGTGTACATCACAAAGTTCTACAGATGTGTGGGCAAGACAGGCAAAGTTATCCAGAGTCAAATAAAATTACTGAGCGAGCAGCTGAACCAAAGCTGCACAGGCATAAGTGTTAGGAGTTTATTCTTTTCCTTCTGAAATCTGTGGCTCAGGAAGCTTCCTGACATGGAGGTATTTTGTTTCTTGCAGTGCGGTTAAGAGCAAACACGGTTGTTTACAGAAAAAGCAAATACTTTTACTCATTTTAAATGGTATAAGATTATACCGGATCCTGGACTTTTGGGCAGCAGTAACGTACAGTAATTGGCTTCTGCTGGTTATGTCCATCCATTTTTTAAAAAAATCCTGTGTGAATTGATTTCTATCAGATTTTGATAAAGTCTCCTAAGGTATTGAACCGAATGCAGAAAGGAAAGCGGACATAATGTTCTTAGTTCTTCCTGTCCCCCCAATAATCCCATCATATAAACTAAGCATTTCTACGTATAGAGAAACCTTTACAACTTTAAACCAATTTAAATAATTTGTATCTTTAAACTTAGGAGAACCGGATACATAACACGCTGAACTGTAGAAAATGGAAGCTGTGTGGATTCATTCAACTCTTCAATTATAGGAATAGAAGCTTTGGTCGCAATTGTTTAAAAAAAATGCAGTACAGTTTCTGATCCAGCTTTTCTTTAATGCTTTTAGCTATGAAAGTATGCGCTGAAATCAATACGAAATGTTCAGACTTTTTGAAGGCAGGGGAAGAGGAGTAATAATCTTATTGTGCATAATTTTAAATACAACAGACATCATTACAAATTGCAACATCTTTTCGTTAAATATTTTTTCTCTAAGAACTGCTGCTTCGGGAATTGTTGCTTGTGTCAGAAGCATTGAAGATCTGTACATTTGCTTTGTTTAACAAGCAAATGACATTCTATAAATATTTAATTGGAATTCTTTTTGTAGAGGCAAAGTCCCTCAGAAGGACCTGGAAGGGTTGTTTGAAGGCATGAGCGGAGATTTTACCAGTGAAAACTTCTCAGCCACCTGGTATCTGATAGAAAACCACTCAGTTACAAGGTCAGTAACAATGCATGTGCTCGTCATTGGAACAATGTTTTGTTTTAAATGTCTGGTCTTGTCAAGTGAGTTTAACTCACTGTGGAGTTCCATAGCGTAGTGGTTAGCGTGCTCGCTTCACAAAGAAGAAGACCCTGGGTTTGATTCCTGGACAGGGCAAAACCCTAGGCAACTTTCTTTACCCCACACACCTCTGTTTACCTAGCAGTAAGTAGGAACCCGGTTGTTGGTTGATTAGGAGATCACTTTCTGGAGGTAATAATCCCTCCCCCCCACTCAATCTATGGCTGTTTGTGGGACGCTGCTGTGCGCAATTGGCTGCTGGGTCTCGCCACAAAATACAGTCAATCCACTTTACAATATATTCTGTGAAGCGCTTTGAGACGTCTCATTGACATGATAAGGCGCTATATCAAATCCAAGGATTATTATTATTACAACCCCTTGACTAACGGTTGGGATGGTGAATCGGCAATACTTTATCAATCATATGATCTATTAATGACTTTCTAGAACATTTTAGAGATGAATATTATAAAATAGAAAACGGGAATTGTTATCGACCATGGAATATTTCATAGGATTGTCTAAACTTGGTATCAGTATGGAAATGTGATACAGTGCTTCTCCAAATTTCTTACGTGGAGAAATTCACACAGATTTAAATGTTTTCCTGAACTATTGCATTGCACAGTCTGTTTCAAATATTTGTGCATTCATGTGAGTACATTGCATTATTACAGGGGAAAGAAAAATCAACATAAGATTTGTTTGTAAGATTTTTAATAAATTTGTTATTAAATACACAAACTAGACAGTCATTACAATCTGCAGCAAAATCTTAGAATCACTTTGAGATGGCCTTCTGATGTGAAAGACGTTATATCATATGTAAGGTTTATAATTTATAAAGCAATTTACAGGATTTACTGTAAAGTGCAGTGACTGTGTTTTGTAGATAAAAGTGGATTCTGAAATCTGCATTCAACAGCAAATTGAATTGTCGATTGGCGGAAATACAGTTCAAGGGCCAAAATGAAATGGTATTGGAAAACATACTTTTAATCCTAATAAGCATGTTTTTTTAAATACTACTTGGGCTCTCGATTGTTAAACGAGTTTATCCAAAGCCTACAGTCAAAGGATCAGATGTGGGATCATCCAGATTTGTATGGCTGGTTTCACACTGGGCATTATGAACACCAAGTGTGGTTTCAGAGGAACTCAGCACCATTTGGGGTTGGCTGAATTTGATAATTTACTTCTAGGGGCTGTCTGATCTTTCTCACACACACACACAGACACACACACACAAATTTCAGACCACAGCTGGGCATTTCTGCTTTGAGAGTGCATATCATATTAACCATTTCAGGCAGGAGTACACAATTGCTCCATCCAGTCTGCTAAAAGACTTTGAGGCTATGTGCCTACACTTCATGGCATTGTGCATTGGTTCCCCCCCCCTCCGTGTGCATATTGTGCCACCGTAGCTCCCTTTGTTCTTAAATGTATTTGGAGAAAATTCTCAGGAAACCCATGGGACCACCTGCAGACTATGAGAAGTCTGTCTGACGCTGGCTCATTGATTGCCCTCTGCTGCTGTTGAACCTTCTTTCATCAGTGCCATGTAAACACTTTCAGATAAACGTGTAATATTAGCCACAGACTCTTGTAGACATTGCATTCCACAGGTGACCTCTGCAAACTAAATATTGCGTTGTATTTGCACGGGATCCTTCCATGGGATACGATTTGTATTACAGAGGGAATTTTTGTGGGTTAATGTCCTGAGAAATTTTCCTTGCCAAGAAATAGAGTAAACACTTATATGATGCATTTATTTGGTTTTTTTATTCGTTGGTAAACGGTCGAGTCTGAATGACTGTTTTGAGTTGTCGTCTTGTGCCTTTAAGGGGTTAGGAGCCTTTTGAATTCTAATTTGAGAGAAATGATGTAAAACTGGATTTATATGTACCAATAGCCAGAAATTGGGTGGTGTATTGTTTTGTCCGATTGAGCAACTTCCCTTCCAGAAACCCTCCTAAAGAGCTAAACGCTTAGGTTTCTGAGCCACTGGTCTCTACTGTTTCAGACACCAATAAAATTTAAGAGGGCAGAGAATCTCTTGTCCATGCACAGAATTATCTGTTGACCTATATTCTTGAAATTTATCAAACACTACGCAAAGAGCGCTGGTGCAATGTAGGATTTTTTTTGTAAGTTTAACGCAGAGTTAATGTAATGAACCATTGTCCATTTTTACTTTTAAAAAAATGTGCACTTTGCTTAACCCAGGTAATGGGAAATCTGAACTTTCAGAATTCCGCTGTTTTGGTTAACTTTTGTCTGTTTTTTTTGCTAAAGGAAACTGATTTGTACCTAAAATTACTTACTTTCCTGCCTGAAACTTGTGACTAGTGTAAACAATGTCCTGTAGTCTAAATTTGTTCACCAGGTAACAGGAAATGGAAGTCCAATCTTAGCTTTGACCACATATAAAACAACAAAAATAGGTCAGGCTGCTGATGGGTATAACAACATAACCTTTTTGCTAAAGTATTGGAGTTCGTAGACAAAAATATCTTTTTCGAAATGCAAGTTCTGATGTGTGATTATCACCCTAGACTGACAAACGATCAATGCTTCTTAGCAGTGAATAAAAGGCTTTAGGTGTAAAAAAGAGTAATAACACAGCTAAATTGTGTGTTCCTTTATCGGAAGGAGTGGATATTCAGCTTGTTGAGTTTGGAATAGCCAGTTTGCTTTCTTATTGTCGAAGTCTCCTCCCTTGGAGTGGTGTAAAGAATGTTTAGAAACTGCAGTTAAAAGCACAAAAATGTTAGCGCAATGAATGTTGTAAAATTGGCTCAACTCCTTCAGCATCATTGCGACTCTGTTATTATGGGATCATAGAATATTACAGCACAAAAGGATGCCATTGCTGGCTCTTTGGAAAAGCTTCCCAATCAGTCCCACTGCCCCACTCTTTCCCTATCTCCCTGCAATGTTTTTCCTTTTCAAGTACCTATTTAATTCCCTTTTGAGAATTGTTATGTGCAATATTTTGTGTTTTAAATTTAGAAATGGCATATACAAGGGAATGGGATAAGTATGAGAATTATTGAATTTTGATTTAAAAAAACACAAATCTCATCAGAAGGCTTTTTAAGTTCTAATGACAGATAATGTTACAATGTTCAATTTTGTGTATTTTCAAGTATTTTAAAAGCTAAGATTGGATCAAAAGATGCAATAGGGATCCAATTCCATAAACAATTATTTTTTGCAGGGCTATACTAACATTTATTCTAATTATTATTATTATCATTTCTGTGCAAAAATTAGAAGCAAACTCAAACAATAGTTTGAATCCAGGTTGAATTTTTCATGCTTTGCTACATTTTTGGAATTCTATGTTTAATTTTGACACTAGAACTACCCAGAACTATTTTTCACTAGAAAAAAGTGAGTACACTTTTCATTAGAAAAAAGTGAGTACAGTGTCTTGCAGTGCCCTCCTACTTTTTTCTAACTTTGTTTTTAGAAATAGCAATTACCCATTTTGAGATTATTGGAAAAAGAACAGCTTTTGATATTTGCACATTGGAAGTCATAATTAGTGCATCTATTTTGGGGATTTCTCACATTAGACCTCGGTGTATGGTTTATAAAGAAAATGATGCCGCTGTTGACTCAATATTCAGTTACCCCCAAGGCTTTTTGCCGCAACCAATTTTTATATTTATGATAATAATCCTTGCATTTGATATAGTGCTTTTCACGTCTTCTAGACGTCCCAAAACGCTTCACAGAATATACTGTAAAGTGAATTGACTGTATATTTGTGGGCGAACGCGGCAGCCAATTGCGTACAGCAATATCCCACAGTCATGGATTGAAAATGACCAATTTATTATTGTTTTGTTTTTTGGAGGGATTATTATTAGGCGTGTGGAGTAAGGAAACTTGCCCAAGGTTTCGCCCTGCCTGGAATTGAACTCAGGTCTCTCGCTTGCAAAGCGAGTGCTCTAACCACTGAGCTACAGGACTCCATATTTGAGGAGAAACTGAATGTACTGTAAAAGTTTGCTTTGCAACAGATCCTGAAGTGCTACAATATATGCATAAGTTGTAATCAATATGGGGTGTGGGGTTTCGGGGTGGGGGGCTGGTGGAGTGGTGGGAGAGGGAGGACAGAGGGACAGGAAGATATTGTCCAACTGCTGTTGCCCGTTCTTTGCTGAAAATTGCTCAGTCCTGTTCTTTATAGGTTTTGAAGTAGGTTTCTGGATTTCAGCCACAAAAGTTTTCAAAATTCTATACTTTATTTATCACCTTTGGATGTCTAAGATAGCAGCATTAAAACGATGTAATATTTGTCCCCTTTTAAACTTTTTTTTAATAAAGATTTTAAGGTTATTAAGGCAGTGGGACAGAGGCTATTCCGTGATTATTTTTCTATTGGAGGAAGTGTTTTCAGCATAAAGAAAAGAAACCAAAGGAGGGAATAGTGGTATTTGTACTGGGGCTTTGAGGTTGAGAGGAAAACAGCACCATAAATGTTGCCTCTTATTGGTAAAAGAGCCTTGAGGCCTAAAGTGAGTATTTGTTCTGAATGGATCCACATGTGTATCACGTCAATCCATGTGATCTCAGCTCTGATGAGATCTTAGTTCCAAGACAAGTTCCCTCTTGAATTGACATGACACTCGTGGGGTTCCCTGGAGGAGCTGTGTTTAATGTCCCGAGGCTCTTGCCCAGTGCAAGCTGCAATTTCTCCAGCAAGTCTTTTAAAACCCCAGTGTCTTGGCTACCAAGCCAGTTTGGAAGTAAATGCATCTGATAAACCAAAAGTTCATTTTGGATTCATGTGGGGTGTTAAAACATTTGGATGACTCTTAAAGATCCTGTATTAGTCCAAATTTGGACATTTACTGAGAAATTCTAGTTGCTAAGAGGTGGGACATTGTGGGATACATGTCAATAAATGGAGTAAAGCAAATTGGCTCCATTTTATATAGGATACAAATCCTTTTTTGAGCAGTTGACTCTAAAATATCAGTCTGTTTCCCTTTCTGTTATATAATTTTCCAAAATTCAGGCAGGCACCTTGATTTAATAGGAAATAAATGATAAGTGCACCCAACATTAAAGGAAATCTAGAATAGACAGTTTTAAAAAATATATGAAAAATATATATATTGTAGTATAATCCTTAAAATGTGTAGTGTTTGCTTCAAAAATGTTCATTTTAGAATTTTCATAATGTTTACTTCTAGTTAGAAAGTGGTGATTTGGAAGGTGATTTACAAACACTGCAACCTTACAGCTCATTAATTGTACAACAACAACAACCACTTGGATTTATATAGTGCCCTCCACGCTGGACGGCGTCTCAGAGCGCTTCACAGTAATGAATTCCGGGGCCGAGCCAGGGGGAGGGGGAGGAAGGTGACCAAAGGCGCGGTCGAAAAGAAAGGTCTTCAGAAGGGACCTGAAAGTAGGAAAAGAGGGGACGAAGGGAGTGAGGAAGGGAATTCCAGAGCCTCGGGGCATAGTGGCTAAAGGCACGGCCACCGAAGGTGGAGCGGAGGGCTCGGGGGACGAGGAGGAGGCCCGACCCTGTTTTGAGGAGAAAGGAGGTCAGAGAGATAGGGGGGGGTGCAGAGGAGTGGAGGGATTTGAATACAAGGGTAAGGGTGAGGATCTTGGAGTCGATCCTCTCTGGGATAGGCAGCCAGTGCAGTCTGACAAGGACTGGGGTAATCGGGGAACGTAGTTTGGTGCGGGTGAGAATGCGGATGGCAGAGTTTCGGATGATTTGGATTTTATGGATGGTAGTGGATGGGAGACCGGCATGGAGGGAGTTAGAGTAGTCCAGCCGAGAGGTGACAAAGGCATGGACCAGGGTTTCAGCGGCTTTCGGAGAGAGATATTTGCGGGGATGGGCGATGCGTTGGAGATGGAAGAAAGCAGTGCTGGTGAGGGACTGGATGTGGGGGAGGAAGGACAATTGGGGGTTGAACCTGACGCCAAGGTTGCGTACGGGTTCAGAGAGTTTTAGGGGGAAGTCGGGTAGGTGGAGGAGGTAAGAGCCGTGGGATTTGAGATGTTGACGATAGCCAACGAAAATGGCTTCCGTCTTGTCGACGTTCAGTTGAAGGAAATTTGCGCTCGTCCAGCCCCTGAGATCTGAAAGGTAGGCTGACAAAACATCAGGGGACTGGGGGTCGCAAAGAGAGGTGGAAAAATAGAGTTGGGTGTCATATGTCAAACTGGTGGTGTTATCAGGGTGAAAGCTGCAGTGCTGATAATCTGTGAACACAACGCCATTAAAATCTTTATTTAAAAGAAAAAAATATTCAAGTGAAATACACAAATTTGTTCACCAAAACTGAGTCCTACATTACGATTGCAGTACATACAAAAAAGCTGGTAATATTCCCAAACTATTTCATGTTTTCACTTTTAAACCTGATCAACACTTTGGATAGCTACATACAAAGTTAAAGATATGTATTTTCACTCTTGCCTAATTGAATTGTCTTCCTGCATACAATAACTTGCATTCAGTGTGTTTGAATCCTGAAACGTAACAAAGTTCAGATCATATACGAGTTGTAAAACTCGCGTAAGTCTTATCTTTATAAATTGTATAAATGCCTAAATTGTACATTCACCCCCAGTATCGTTCAGTTTCCTATCAAAAATACTTAGATTTCTTTACGCTACTCGAATTACTCACCTCCTAACCCATAATGTCACTCCCCTATCCTCCATTACACCCACGCTTACCAAAGGCCTAGAATTGCGGGAAATGACGTCCGGACGCATCAACGCACGTGCACTTACATTCTATCAGGGGAAACGTAGTCTCCATCTGTCATCACGTGTGCAGAAGAACTTCATTTCCCTGATTCAATGCAATGAATAATAATGATTATTATTTGATTAATGTTTGCCGCAAGTGTGCATGTGGTGACGGGTGAAGACGCATTGAATCGCGGGAAATGTAGTCTTGAGCGTCGCCGCATGCACACTTACCGGATTTAATACGACTTCTACAGTTTGCCTGCAACTCGTACTTTGCTTAAGACGTATGAAATCTTATGATCTCGACTGATATGACATACGTGAGTTTTACTGTATAATCAAATTCCTTCAGTTGGTCTGCAAACTTGTAGGACTCGGTCATCTATCCTTTTACGTTTAATGTCTCAAAATGCTTCACAACATTTCTGAGCATCCCTAAACTAATAGGAGTGAACACTTCCAGATAGCCTGTTATTAGCAGTGAATTTCTCTGTACACCCTGATATAAGCAGTGAACACTTCCCTATCCCGTGTTATTAACGATGAGAAATTTATACAAAAAACTAAAAATGAAGGGGTTTGAGTTCTGTGCCATTACAAGGATAACACAATACCTATTTGTAAGTAATTGTCTCGTGGGAACTAAGCAGTAAAAGAGCCTGCGGTGTACCTCCACTCTGATGTTACATCTGGGAATTCGGAAAAAGTGTCTATTTTAAAAAAGGGCTTTAAAATGTACTTTTTAGAGGCTTTTTTTAAAAAAAGTTATAGATAGGTTTACAACACATCACTAAACCAATGCAAGATGAGTAATTGCTTCTCTATTTTAAGTCTACTTTACACTTTTTTCAAAAAAATGCTCAATTCCTTTTGACTGAGCATGGTGCTTGAGACATTCTTTTCACATTTCATACAACGTTTTAATGATAAGCTGTTAAGATAAAATACTTGTTTCCATTTAGATATTCAATGGAATACTGCACATAAATATTGTGTAATACAGGGTTTGTGTGGCTCCTGGAACCTTAACTAAAGTAAATTTTATTGGAATTGAAATTTTACTCGATTGTACTTTTCAAGACTGAGAGTGATAGATCTTTGTTAGATATGGGTATGGAGAAAAGGTGGGTTAATGGAGTTGAGGCTCAGAGCAGCCATGATCTAATAATAATAATCCTTGCATTTGATAAGCACCTTATCACGTCATCAAGATATCTCAAAGCGCTTCACAGGAAGTACTGTAAAATTGATTGCATATTTTGTAGGCAGAATGGTGGGACAAGGTCAGAATTACCTATCCCTGTTCCTAGGATACTATTTTATAATCAAAGTAGTTAAGACACATATCATTCAGCTATAGAAAATTTAGGCGTGGAGTCCTGTAGCTCAGTGGTTAGAGCACTCGCTTTGCAAGTGAGAGACCTGAGTTCAATTCCAGGCAGAGGGCGAAACCTTGGGCAAGTTTCCTGACTCCACACACCTAATAATAATCCCTCCAAAACCAAAAACAATAATAAATTGGTCATTTTCAATCTACGACTGTTTGTGGGACATTGCTGTGCGCAATTGGCTGCCGCGTTCGCCCACAAATATACAGTCAATTCACTTTACAGTGTGTTCTGTGAAGCACTTTGGGACGTCCTCCCGACGTAAAAAGCACTATATCAAATACAAGGATTATTATTATTATTATTAAATCCTTTGCAAGTTTATTGGGTTTCAAAGATTAAAGTTACCTATAAGGGTTTATTTGAACTGTTTCTCTGATATACAGATATATTTAATTTCCTGCAATAAGGCTGCTGAAATACACAGTCAGTCCACGTTGCAGTATATTCTGTGAAGCACTTTGAGGCATCTCAACGACGTGATAAGGCGCTATTTCGAATACAAGGATTATTATTATTTCTTGTCTGCTGTCTTTTTCTCACTTCTATTACATCAGCAAACTAGAAAATGTCTTCCCTTGTCCTTTTCAGTTTTGATCAGCTGAAAGTTGCTGCAAATTATTTAAGGAAGCAGGCTAACAAGAAGAATGAAGGAAGCCTGGCATATGTGAAGGGAGGCCTCAGCACCTTCTTTGAGGCTCAGGATGCACTTTCAGGTATCTCTTCATCTCTCACTGCATAAATTTATTTTGTGTAAGAATTCTTTCAATATACCTTTCATTCCAACACGATACGGGATTCCTGAGGAAAAAAAATATTTAAATATTTTTAATTGAAACAACTATTTACATTTATTTAATGCCTTTTACAGGTAATAATCCCTCCAAAAAAATAATAATAACTTAGTCGCTTAGTCCAAGATTGTTGGTGGGACAATGCGGTGCACAATTGGCTGCCACGTTTCACCCACAAAATACATTCAATTCACTTTAGAGTATATCCTGTGAAGTATTTTGAGACGTCCCTCCACTTTGCCCCCTCTCTCCCCTTTTTCAAGTCCCGCCTGAAAACTTTTCTTTTCGCCCGTTCTTACGGTCACCTCCCTTCCCCCCACTTCTGGCTCGGAGTCAGGCTCCGCCACTGTTAAGCACTCTGAGATGGCACCCTGAGTGGAGGGGGCTATATAAGTGCAAGTTGTTGTTGTCTCAAAGACGTGATGAGGCGCAAAATATGATGTAAGGATTATTAGTATTATGACAGTGGGAGTCTCAGAACGCTTCACATGAGCGTGAGCTTAAGGGTGGTGGGGGGGAAGTTGGGCAAAGAGGTCGGTCTGGAAGGAAGGGAGGGAAGGAGGGAGTTTGTTCCAGAGACGGGAGATGGGGGGGCTGAATGGCTGAAGGCTTGCACAAACTGAGTGGTGGAGGCAGAAGGGTCACGAGGGTTTGTCCATATACTACATGTTAGGAGGTAAATTTCAACATAGCATACTGCAAATTGCTGGCCATCGAGGGGTTTGGGGAATATCTAAGCCAAACATTCCCGTACCTAGGAGCTCTTTGAAATTAATTATTTCAGATTCAAGAACCTATGATTTTTTGGGGATGTGTGATATCTTTCAGGAGAGAAAATGTTGCGTGTTTTGAGTTTTTTTTTCTTTGTTTCCTTGTACACAAGTTTATTTATTGTGGGTGGATGGGTGGGTGTTTGTGTTTTGGTTGGATAATTTTTTTAAAAAATCCCTTAATTTTAAATCGTATAGCATTTTCATTGCTCATGTGAAGGAAAGGGAATGGTATTTTAAAAGTGTTTTTATAAATGGAGCTTCTTGTTCGTGTTTCTCGGAGGCTCTGTGGCTGCCTGCCTCATGGCATGAGGAGAAGTTGGTCGTGCACAGTTTTCTAAGCCCACCCAAATTTCAGCTACTGGCTCTGTCATCGCCTTGGATTTTATTTTTCCATTGGCACAATTTTAATCTTCCCTTCAGATCAGACATCCACTCTTGTCTGCTCCTGTGGATTTTAAAGCACTATTGAAAAAACTAAAATAATCAGTAAAATAAGATCTGTGGGACATCATTGTGAACAGATTGGCTGCCCCATTTGCCTACAAAATATACAATCACCACACTTTACAGCATATTCTGTGACACAATTTGAGACGTCCTTCCAATGTAAACGGCTCTGTTCCAAATGTATTTAATGAATCTCTGTGGCCAGCAATGCAAATTGAGAAAAGTTATTCACTCTTATGATTTTTTTTGAAAATCACAAACATAACGCCTTATCACGTCGTTGAGATGTCTCAAAGTACTTCACAGAGTATACTGTGAAGTGGATTGACTTTGTATTTTGTGGGCAAAACACAGCAGCCAATTGCACACAGCAGTAAAACTATTAATTCCCCATGAGGAAATTATTTTTCTCAACAACAACAACAAGATTACATTTCTGTAGCCGCTTTCATGTAGGGAGGACGTCCCAAGGCTGGACAGAGTACAGCATTTCAGACCTGAGCTGGGGTTGGGGGCCGTAAGGGAAGGGAGGGGAAGGGGGGTGGCCGATGGCATGGTCGACGAGGAGGGTCTTGAGGCGGGACTTGAAGGAGGCTAAGGAGGGGGCGAGGCGGAGTGACTGGGGGATGGAATTCCAGAGGCTGGGGCAGAGTGGCTGAAGGCTCTCCCGCCAATGGTGAGGCGGGTGAGTCGGGGGACGTGGAGCAGGCCAGATCCGGCTGAGTAGAGGGAACGGGCAGGTTGGTAGGGGGTTAGGAAACTATTCCAAAAGGTTTCTCAAACCTGTACTCTTGAGAGCACCTTGGGGTTAAAAAATTAGGAAAGCTGGGGGTGATTGGCCGTATTTCATATTATTTTACCACTGATTCAATAGAAATACACATTTGTGATCAAGAGCACTTTCTTTTAGTGCATTAATGGTTTTAAGTGTAACTTTTCTACAAATAAGCTGCTTTTAAATTAATTTTCCAAGTATTGGTTCAGTCCTCCTCCAGTAAGGATTTTTAATTCATTAGTGCAGACAGTCTAGCTTGTGTAAAACTATTATTCAGTTAGTCAAAGGCAAGTATTTTTCCTTTTAAAATTTCTTCTTTGTCTTTACTGTGAGGTGCATCTGGGACTTAAGCACTCTGAGATGCTATCCTGTGTGAGGGGAATTATATAAATGCAAGTTGTTATTGTTGTGACATTATAGAATAATTTGGGATGATTCTACCAGGGAGGCATTCTGATTTTTTTTTTCCCCCTTCACAAAAAATTATCACAGCTTTAAAGCAGAGCAGTTCATGAGAATGACAACTTCACCTTCGCCCACTGCGAGACACAGAAACCTAAGATTTCTGGAAACCTTACAGCTGTCACTGGAGCCAAAATAAACAGGCTGCCAGGATAAATGGCAGAGGAGATTGTGCTGTACCCAGTTTGGTCAGCTGTAGAATTTCCAGTGAATATTGAACTATTAGACCACAAGATTTCCTGATGAATAGTTTCAGACCACCTCCTCTTGCCGGAGTATAGAGCAGGCATTGCACCTAATGGAAACTGAATTTAATTCAATAATAAAGCATCACTTTGTGCTCAGGTTTTGAAAGAATTTGACATAAGACTGCAACTTTGGTACATCTTCCAGGCATGAACTTCTACAGGTTTGACACTTCCTGAGGATTCTGGTAGCAGCACTGCCTGGATGTGTCAAAAGTTGCTGTGCAAATCAATTAGGAAAATATTAAACGCTCCTAAAATTCTAATAGAATTTGTTCTCATCGTTGTGAAGTAAATTTAAATGTATATATTAGTTTCACGTTAATTAAATAAAGCAACAGGCTTTGAAAATTCAAAGGCTAAAGGTGCTCATTATCAAAAATTAGAAATGAGTGCAGCCTGTAACTAAAATGGGAGGGTTGAGTAGGTCGGCATGAGGGGTATTGGGTTTTGTCCCTGGGAGAATAAAACAACGTAGCCCAGCGTGTTGCATCCTTCTGTCAATCAATTTGCTTGACAGCTTGTCAGTGTTGTAACATACATTAGGTGGTGTTTTTTTGCAGGCCAGTGTTCAAAAGGAAGTGAGTTTCCATCAGCACAGCCAGGCTTTATACATAGAGAGGAGCCAGGGTCACCTAACAGCGACCTGCTGTTCTTGGATGAGAAATCTAGCTGGACTTTGTTTTTTAAAAAAAGTACTTTTTGCTAATATCAGTGATATATCATTGTACTGTATAGAGCAGATTGTGGAACAGAAACTGATGGTTGCAATATAAAAGTGTGTGTTAATGAGGTCTAAACTTAATTAAGGAATCCAATAGGGTTTCTTGTTGGCAATCAGAAGTACTTCATACTGACTGCGGGAACTCAGTAAATCTGTCGAAGGAGTTCCCATGTGTCGGAATGACAAATTTCTGGATTCTTATTAAGAATTTGCGTTTGAAATTGCCAAGACATAGACCTCATAACTTCACTCTGGCGTGAAAATCCTGCAGTAATGTTTAGTTTTTTTAAAATGGCTATGTGCTCTTCTGACTTTAATCAACTTTCCTTGACTTTACACTTAGATAGAATAATCTAACGGTTTAGAAATTTTGTTTCATCAGCTTCCAGGCTGATTTATTTCAAGAATCGCAATGTACCGGGTCTCCACGGGTTCTTTCTGTGAACCATAAAACTAGAGAGAGGCAGGTAAAAAGGCTGTGGCTTCTCCTCTGGAGATATTCTCTGCTTTCATCGAAAAGTAGCCTTGTCATCATTACCAAAACTCTCTTTGTCTAAGTCTGAAAAAGGAAAACTTGCAAATTCTGGCTTGCTTTTCAACAACTGTAATGAGCAAATGCTCTTTTCAGCAAAGAAGTCCTGATGGCACTATTCATTGAAGCCGTAATCATGTGTTTCAGAAAGTTACGTTCACTTTTTTAATGTAGTGAAGAGGAAATTGGGGAGTTAGTGGGTCACTTTGCAGATTCCCAACAAATTACATTTGTATGGGGCCTTTCACATCGGAGAGGATAAATTTGGTGAAATGTGAACTTCTATCTTAATGCATTCCTCTTTGAACATCTCCTTCTTTCCTCACTGCACAAAGTCGTAGAGCAAAAGGAGTATCCCATTATTTTCAAACTCTTTCAATGCCACTCTGCATGGTATTTTCAGGATGCTGAGGATTGCTTGGTCTCCAGCAGAACCCAAAGTGCAGCTGGCCACATACTTAATAAAGTTTTCCATTATTTTATGTTGTTCCAAAACACAAAATATTCAGGTTTTCCACTGGGTCAGTGGGTTCCACTTCTATTCTCAGACCCATCCTACGGACTGTGTTAACAGAAGCTAGCTTGCTGTATTGCACCTGCACAAAGGCATCATAGGAATGTCTTTAGTTTGCAAAATACAAAAAAGGGATACTTGGGAATGATTCCATAACATTGATGTAATTAAGGCTCAAATGCCATCCTAAAGCATGACTGAAACTTGACTATTTTATAACCATCCTTTGTAATTGGATTACAGCCTTGAAATGACTCGCCGATATAAGAAACTGTTACATTTACAATTTCTATTTCTTGTGAGGTTTTATTCTGCAGACAGTAAATTCACTTTCTCTCCTTGATTCATACGGGCCATTAAAAATTAATAATTGTGATATTGTTGCAGATTTATTGAGAAATAACCTGGATTTAATTACTGGCAAATATAATATATGTATATATATATATAGTGAAATGAAGTTTGTTGTAAATGTTCTGTAAACTCTCATTGTATATTTTATATATACAATGTATGAAATACAGTCCCCTCTTGAACCCCTTTAAAATATCTATCTGGAATAATGATATACTTTTATACAGACTCATTTTCCTGTTGGCCTCCTGCAAAATTACCTGGAGTAGATAATACCTGTGTTACAAAATCCTTTCTGTGAGTGAATATTTGGTAGAAACTATTGCAAATTTACAATCTTTATCAAGGCTTGGAAGTTTTTTATACACAGATTGTGGCTCATTATGGTCCTTTACCACATCAAAGTAGGCATTATTCACAGGGAACCCTTGCGGTGTGTGTTAGCATGTTTTAGACCCCAGGTCACTGGGACTTTGATTCTCCCAAACCGTGATTCCTTTTGTGCCCTTGTTGAGCTGGTGCAGAGTGGAGGCTTAACACTTGCCCCAAAGGCGTAGAGAGGAAATCAGAAAGTTAGTTACCATTATTATTATTATCTCAGAGAAGCTAGCTCCAGAATGGCACTGACCAGTACCTGAACAAAGGCCCATCCTACTCCCTGCTTCAGACAGGGAATGATGCTGAGAGATCTGAACGATGAGGGAGGCAACACTTAAATGCAGATGAAAAAAAATTATGTTTAGGGTTCAATGGTTCCAAAGTGAAATTGAAAGTCTTGCTGCTGATTTGTGAATTGCCATGTTATGTGCTGAAGTTTTCTTAGCAAATACGAAGTGTGCAGTTTTGGCAATGATGGACATTACACTTCCACACTATGGAGAAAAGCCAGTGATCAAGTGTTATTAATGGCTGGTTACTGTGAGTTCAACAACTTTATTGAGAAATAGTGGAGGAAACCACAGAGAAAAAGAGAATATAATTCTGTATTTTCCTCAGAATTGCCGTTTTGGAATATTAAGCATATTAGCGAACGTAACCAAGATAATTTTCATAGAAATTCTCCAGAAAATCCACAAGCCACATCTAAACCAAAATTATACCACTTGTATTTTTTCCACACCGTTCTGTGCATCCATCGCTCTCATCTTCGTCTGCTTGAATACCTCCCAGGACTCTGGACTTTAACATCCTTACCCTCACTAAGCCAGTCAGGAACCTGGGTATCTTGTTTGACCCTGAACTGTCCTTTCTCCCCCACATCCGCGCCATGACCGGCACTGCCTACCACCACCTCCGCAGCATTGTTAAACTCTACCACTGCCTCACCCCTCAGGCTGCCAAAACCCTCACCCACGCATTCAAGGCTCGAATACGGAAAGTCCCTCCTCATCGGCCTTCCCAACTCTTCCCTTCACAAGTTGCAGATCATCCAAAACTCTGCAGCTCGTGTACTCTCATGCACCAGGCTCCATGACCTCGTCACCCCCACCCTCGCCCGACTCCACTGGCTCCCCATCCCTCAGAGGATCGAATTCAAGATCCTCGTCCTCACTTTCAAGGCCATCCATGGCCTTGCCCCCTCCTACCTCTCTGACCTGCTGACTCCCTACCAACCTGCCCCTCCCTCCGTTCAGCGGACTCCGGCCTGCTCCATGTCTCCCACCTGACCCGCCCTACATTCGGTGGCCGGGCTTTCAGCCTCTCTGCCCCCACACTCTGGAACTCCATCCCACAATCCCTTCGCCTCACTTCCTCCCTTTAAGGCCGGTCTCAAGACCCTTCTCTTCAATCATGCCTTTGGTCTCCCTCCCACCTCTCTGTCTTCCCTCACCGCTACACCATCCCTCCCCCATGCTCGGGCCCCGACACCTGACTGTTCAGCTCTTTGGGACGTCCTCCCGACGTGAAATGCGCTCTATAAATCTGAAGGACCTCCTGACCTTTGATCCCTTCAAAATCTTACCCCGTCCCTATTGACAACACTGGTACTATCACACTACCACACCTGCTACTATCAGCACAACTTGCTGAAAGAGGCACATAGAATCAAATCTTGAGACACTTCTGGAAATTGTGAAGTGTGGCAAATATGTTACTTTATCAGATGAAATTCATTCAAAATTCACAAATGAAAACCGAGTCGTACATATCCAGGAAACATTGTATTTGTTAAAACTCTTTGTGAACCTGAAGTGGTAGATAAAATATTCAGGACTGTGATCATTCTGAATCTGCTCTTATTATTATTATCACCATCACCTGTTTTTAAGATTTTTTTCATTACAACTTTTTTTATGTTAGTTTACTCCATTGCATTTAGCATTGCAGTTCAGACATCACTAAGTGACATGGTTGTGCTTTAGATTGATTTTTTTTATAGTCATAAAATCTAAGCAGATGATTTTTGCAATGCCTGATGTGATTTTGCAGTTAATCGAGAATTTTACACCATTAAGATCACAGTTTTCATAAGGAAATTGGAAGTTATTTTTGTATTTGCTCCAGAAACCAGAAGCAATGAAGTAATGCAAAGTGGTTGTGAAACAAAAATAATGTGGTGTTTAAAGCTGTACTTTTTTCCCCTACACATAAATCACTGTGCATTCAGTTATCTCCACATTTTATTCCAGCAATCCATCAAAAATTGGAAGTGGATGGGACGGAAAAAGTAGAAGGGTCAATGACGCAGAAACTGGAGAATGTACTTAACAGTAAGTTGTGCTTCACAATTCATGCCTATATGTAGAAATTGTTATTTCAGTTTAATGAATCTCTTCTTAAACATTTGTCTTGTATGTAGACAGTGACCTGTAATCCTGGAATTTGGAAAGTTACCTTTTGATCCTATAATCTACGCTTGTTGCCTTACATCTATTTTCTTTATAGATAGCGTTTGTTTCTTCGTAATGCATGCTTAACTTATATGTTTGGCATGTCACTGCCCTTGTTTTAAAACATAATGTAGCAGAGTTGTTGATGTGTAATTTAGTTGGCTCTGCCCAATGTTGCGTGCACTTGTGGACAGGAACTTCAAAAGTCTGTTTATCTTGCTAGTGACGTCAGTTCCCTTTTAGTATATTAAAACGTGCTTTTTAACATCAATGTTTAATGTGAACTTGATGGTCTGGCTTCTGGAAAGAATTTACAGCACTAGAGATGAAGTTAAGCTTGTATCTTGCTCATCTGTGCTTGTAGAAACCAGAGAATGTATTTGCTTTTAACATTTGTGATGTTATGAGAAATTTGATACACGTTTCGATCTGTAGATGAAACGTTAAAGATGCTGACATAGGTTGACTTCTTGTTCAAAAAATGTAAAGGAATGATCAAATAACCGTTTAAAAATTCAAACAAAAGTTTAGAGCCACCAAACACTGGTGGCGCTCTAAAAACGAATTGCCCCATTAATGGGCCTAGTTTACTGTCAACACATTTTGTGTAGAAAAATGAAAGTGGCGGTACGTGCAACTTTGTTAAACTTTTTTTTAAAAAAGTTGCGTCTCAGCCTGGCTCAGTTATTTGCTCGCTCGCCTCTGGAGTCAGAATGTTGTGAGTTCAAGCTTCACGTTGGGAATTGGAACTGATATAGTCTACACTGGCACTCAATGCAGTATGGGGGCGTGCTGCATTGTTGGAGGTACTGTCCTTCAGACGAGAAGGCAAACCGAGGTCTCATCTGACTGTTCACAATGACGGTTTCATGACACTATTCGGAAAGAGAAGAAATTTTTTCCTGGGGTCCTGGTCAGCATTCCCCCAAATAAATTTGGTCATTTACTCCATGGCTGTTCGTGGGTCATTGCTATATGCAAAATTGGCTGCTGCGTTCGCCCACAACATGAACAGTCACTTCACTTTACAGTAAACTCTGTGAAGCGCTTTAAGACCAGACGTGAAACGCACTATATCAAATGAAAGACTTTTATTATTGCTGGATTTGAGTTTGAAAAATATGAGCCAAAATAAAACTGCAATAAAATATGAAATAAAATGCTGATAATTCATTGCCAATCAATGTAAAGAGACACATCCTAGTTTTCTCTTTCTGATTTTGATTGCCCTGCTGTTGATATTGATTGTTTATGAAAAGTATGTGGTTTTGTGTGAAGCCAAAATTGGCTTATTTTAATATAGTTTCACATGTTTGTGGATGACATCCAACTCCATCTTTCTTCCTCCACCCTCGATTCCAGGACCACTGGTGTCCTGACTGTTTGTCTATTGTACATCGAGTCCAGGATGAGAGCTAACTTTCTCTAGTTGAATGTCAACTGGACAGAGGATCTCATACTTGGCTCCCATCGGCATCTTCCCAAAGCAGGTCCTCACAGGATCGAACTACTTCACTGCATACTGAGCCTGTGTGGAACCTCAATATTTTATTTGACTCTTAAATGTCTGTTTAAACCCACATTCGTGGTCTGAACCTTCCAGCTTTTCCCCACCTCCATAATATTGCCAATTTCCGCCACTGCCTAGCCCCTCGAGCCGCTGAGTCCCTTATCCATATTTTTCCAACCTATCTAGGCTTGATTACACCAACTTTCTGCTCACCATACTTCTGCTTCTTCCCTTCACAAGCTGCAGATGATACAGAACGTTGCAACTCATGTCCTTTCTTGCCCTAAGCTCTGTAAGCCTATTGCCTCGGGACGCTACCCTGCGTGAAGGGCACTATATAAATGCAAGTTGTTGTTATCGCCCCCATGTGTGTCAGCCTGGTGCAGTGCACTATTCTGGTGCACTCTCGCCTCTGAGTCAGAAAATTGTGTGTTCAAACCCACATCAGGACTTGGAATCACATAGTCTAAGCTCACACTCCAATGAACTACTGGGGGTGTGTTTCATTGTTGGAGGTGCCGTCCTTCAAATGAGATGTTAAACTGAGGTCCAGTCTGCCTGTTCAGGTGGACGTTAAAGATCCTATGGCACTATTCAAAAATGGAAGGGGAGTTATCCTGGTGTTCTGGCCAACAATTCCTTCAAATAAAATTGGTCACTCGTGCCATGGCTGTTTGTGGTTTGTTGCTGTGGCAAAAACTGACTGCCGCATTTCATCCACAAAATACACAGTTAATTCCCTTTACAGTATATCCTGTGAAGCGCTTTGAGACATGTCAATGATGTAATAAGGCACTATATCAAATGCAGGAATTATTATTATCTTTGCTTGGTTCCACGGTTCCCCCTCCCTCAGCAGATTGACTAGATTGACTTCAAGATCCTTATCCTAACCTTTAAATCCTCCAATGGTCTTGCACCACCTCGGTGACCTCCTCAAAATCTACAAATCCAGCCACTCTCTCCGCTCAGTTCAGCAGGCACTAGCCTACTTCACATCCTCCCCCCACCATTGGTGGTCGGGATTCCAACCTTTCTGCCCCACTCTCTGGAACTCCATCCTGAAGTCCCTTCAACTCATCCCTTCCCTCACGACCTTCAAGGTCCGCCTCCAGACAACAACAACAACAACAACAAAATTTAATTTATAGAGAGTCTTTCACATCGGGAGGAATACCCAAGGCGCTGGATAGTCATAGGTCAGGACCCGAGCATGGGGGAGGGGTGGGGTAGGGGTGAGGGAAGGCAAAGAGGTGGAACGGCGACTGAAGGCATGATCGAAGAGGAGGGTCTTGAGACCAGCCTTGAGGGGAGACAAGGGAGGAAGTGAGGCGAAGGGACTGTGGGATGGAGTTCCAGAGTGTGGGGTCAGAGAGGCTAAAAGCCCGGCCACCAATGGTAGGGTGGGTTGGGCGGAGACATGGAGCAGGCCGGAGCCCGCTGAACGGAGGGAGGGGGCAGGTTGGTAGGGAGTCAGCAGGTCAGAGAGGTAGGAGATGGCAAGGCAATGGATGGTCTTGAAAGTGAGGACGAGGATCTTGAATTTGATCCTTTGAGGGATGGGGAACCAGTGGAGTTGGCCAAGGGTGGGAGTGATGGGGTCACGGAGCCTGGTGTGCGAGAGTACACGAGCTGCAGAGTTTTGGATGATCTGCAGCTTGTGAAGGGAAGAGTTCGGAAAGTCGATGAGGAGGGAGTTTCCATAATCGATCCTTGAGGTGACGAATGCGTGGGTGAGGGTTTCGGCAGCCTGAGGGGTGAGGCAGTGGCGGAGTCTGGCAATGTTGCGGAGCTGGTGGTAGGCAGTGCCGGTCATGGCGCAGATGTGGGGTAGAAAGGACAGTTCAGGGTCAAACAAGACACCCAGGTTCCTGACTGGCTTCGTGAAGGTGAGCGTGCAGCTGTGGAGGCTGATACTGCCAGCGCTCGAGGTGCGGAGGGGCTGGCACGAGTCAATGAGGAGGGTCTTGGTCTTGCTTTCTTAGTTGGAGAAAGTTGTCCTCGTCCAGATCTTCCTGTTTGACCATGCTTTCATGCATCTTCCTCCTCTCAGCCTCCCCACAGCCTGGGTGCAAAGCTAAAACTGTCCAACACCTGTTGACGTGATCCCAATTTGAAAGACGTTTATATAAATGTAAATTTGTTTAATTTATGAAAAACACAAATTATTGTGTGGAGTTTGTTTCAGATTGCTCACTTTCAGATGAATGAAACATACTTGAAAACAGAATTCGGGACCATTAAATAGGAGGTGATTGGTCAATTGTTTTCTGTTTTATCAATGAAATAGGAGTACTGTACTTAACATTTGACATTTCACTCTCAACATTCTTGCAATTTGCTGGAAAGGAAATGAATCCTGATAATGTACAGTAAATAAACAAGTACCTTTTCCTTTAACTTAAGTAAATAAACCCGGTAAACGAGATGGATTGTTTTAAAGTGGATAATATTGCAGTCAAATAAAATAAAAGAGTTGCTTTTCCCTTCATTTTATTATATATATATATATATAGTTTCAATAAAGTTTTTTTTAAAATGTTATTTTTGAGTGATTACACTGGTACATTATAAAAAAAACTTGAATCTGGGTGGACATTACAGTTAAACTGAGTTTGGGTATTTCAACTACACTTCATTTCCAACGGCCCACCCAGGGAGCTGAGTGCTGAACGTGGCATGCAGGCCAGCCAGTGTGATCGATGGGATTTTCTGTTTCCCCTCATCCCCCCTCAACCCCTCATCTTTGCTTAAAGTAAAGTCACCAGACCAGATAATACAAACCGTTTCTGAAAATGTTCCACACATCTATATTAGCCACGATTCCCTTCCCCTCACCCCTTCAAAACGGAATATAAATTAGACTTAATACTAACAAATCATCAAAAATCATTTGTAAGACTTTTATAAAAGAATATAATAATAATAATAACCCTTGCATTTGATATAGCGCCTTATCACGTTTCAAAGCTCATCACAGAATATCCTGTAAAGTGAATCAACTGTATATTTTGTGGGGAAAATGCGGCAGCCGGTTGTGGATTGAGTGACCAAATTATTATTTTGTATAAAATAGATGTATTGTTAAGTATCTTGAGACATACTCACAACATGAAAGGTGCTATACAAATATAAATTTATATTGTATTGTCTTAAAGCGCTACACGGGATATACTATAAAGTGAAGTAACTGTGTTTTTGTGGGTGAACTCAAGCCAAAATAAGGGGCTTGATCAAAGCATCCTTAAAGTTTCAATCCTTCAGGATGAGTTGTTCGGATCTGGAATACATTGCCTGAAAGGGTGGTGGAAGCCAATTCGATAACAACTTTTAAGAGAGAATGGATAATTATTTGGGGAGGACAAGTTTGCAGGGCTAAGGGGAGAGAGCGGGGAAGTGGGATTGATTTGGATAGCTCTTTTCAAAGAGCCGGCACAGGCACAATGAGACAAATGGCCTCCTTCTATGGTTTATAATTCCAAGAGACAAAAACTCTCAGCACAGGCCATAGGATCAGGACATAGAACTTAATTTTGAATTGAGCTGATTGATCTTAACATGTGGATACACATCAAAGACCATTATTGTCTGCTTTGTGAATTTGGGTGAGACTCAAATTTGTGATTTATACGCCAATTTCAGAAAGATAAATGAGCATGAGTTTTGTACTTGACCAATCTTAGGATTTACAAAAAACTGCCTAAATGTTATTTTTCCTTCCCTCTGGCTGTAAGTCAGCACTTAAAGGTTTGTACAATTAAACTCCTTTGATTTTATTAATAAAACGTCTCAAATGTACTTGTAGAATTTCCAGTCACCCTGAAGCATTATTTTTGTGTGTTGAAAGATGCCCATTTGTTCGGCATTTCAAAGCATTGTTGTTGTAGTCTTCCAGATTGCAGTGCCGATTCAGAGGACATATGTTTCCAAAAGCCTTTTAAAACGTGTTGCTTTTTCTTCTTTCTAGGGGCAAGTAACACAGCAGACGCACTGTTCCAAGAAGTCTTGGGACGCAAAGACAAAGCTGATTCCACAAGAAATGCCCTCAATGTTCTTCAGCGTTTCAAATTTCTCTTTAATCTGCCACTGAATATTGAAAGGAACATTCAGAAGGTAAATTCTGAATAAACTTATTTTGTGACCGAAAATGCAACATCACCATTCAGTGTTTTAACCTTTGTACAGACTGGTAACTTTTATGTGTTTTTTTTCTCTAGGGTGATTATGATGTTGTAATAAATGACTATGAGAAAGCTAAATCGCTGTTTGGGAAAACAGAGGTCCGTGTCTTTCAGAAAGGTAGGTAGTGGTATGCAATAGAAACCCGGTTTGCGGTCACCTCGGTAATCCAGCCACCTCGCAATTGCGGGCACATTTTCACAGTCTCTTTCATTATCTATGTTAAGAGATAGGCTGTCTGCTTCAGTAACCTGGGCACCTCACTCTTCAGGACAACGGTCATTGATCGTGGCCACTACAGTGCCCTCCTCCGGTACAAATGCAATACAAACACCGCCCTCCGCTACAAACCTGTACACAGTGTGCTAGGCCTCGGGCTTCTCGCGCTGTTTCCTCGACGCTGCTATTGTGGGTGGAGTGGTCTCCGGTCACGCGGCGCTGTGAATGTTGGGATCGAGGAAGCAGTGCGAGCGGAAAATCGTCTTCGCCTGCCGCCCGCAGCAAAATTGCAAAGTATGGTTGTTGAATGTTCATCACCCTTGCCCATTGCTAACATTACATCAGTGACTTGAATCACCCGACCTGTTCCAGTAATCAGGTCATCTCACTAAGTAAGTCACTTTTGCTTAATCACTTGAGTGACCGGATTAGTGAAGTTCTACTGTAGTAGGTATAGTAGTTTGTCAAATGCAAGAATTAGTATACTTTTTTAAAAGTCTCTATTCAGCAAGAAAGATATTAGAAAGTGCATTAATACCTGGAAGTCAGCCATTTTTTAACACTCCTTTGAATGAGGCTTTTGAGTTATTGAACCTATGATGTCCTTGCTAAAATGGAGTTGCCATGTAACTCTTTGTATTGATAATTACGAATGCCTACTTTATCAAACCATTTTCTTTCCCTGTTAGTTTATTCTGAAGTAGAAACACGGATTGATGCATTGAGGAAACTGCTGATGGACAAATTGCTTGAGACACCATCAACTCTGCATGACCAGAAGAGATATATAAGGTAATTAAAAAGCTTTGAAACTAACAATATTGGAGCATTTAACTGGACAAATTATAACAGGATACAACGCCTTTCATGAAATCTGTTGTGCAAGGGTATTTAAACTTGCACTTCACAAAATTGAAAGGTTTTTCTTGAACTCCCACTATGAAAAAAAATGATTCATTGTCTACGATACAGTAAATAAACCATTTGAACCATCATGTTAGTGTCTTGACTAGAAAACAATAAATTCAATATTGAGTTAGATCCCTTTGAAAACTTAACACCACAGACATAGACAGTCCTGAAGAAAGCCATGCGGCTCGTCATAGCTGTGCAGCTCTCTGAAAGACCTATCTGTTTACAACAATAACTTGCATTTATATAGCATCCCTCATGCAGGGCAGAGTCTCAGAGTGTTTAGTCCAATTATGCTACCTTTTTCTAATACCCACTTATATTTCTTCTTTTCATATATTTATCTAAATCTCTTCTAAAAGCTAATCCAGGTAAGGCATTTTATGTCCTAATAACCCACTTTGCAAAATAAATAAATAAATTCCCTAAGCTCTCCCTTTGCTTTTGTGGTAATTACCTTTGGCTGTTGCCAGACAAAATGAGCACCTTTGAGAAGTGAAACTGTACACAGTATATCAGAAGTGTCAGATATCCAGATCTGGTATTACGCAAACATGAAAGGGCCAATACATTTCAAAGCTTCCAAAAACACAATCAATCTCAGTTGAAGTTTAAAGTTTACTTTACGAAGTTTACTGCACAAATGTTGGTAAAGTATGAGCAATTTACAATGCACCCTTGGCTGTTGATTCATTGGATTACGTATGTAAAACATTGAATTAGTGTTACCCTACTGTGACTAGGCACATTGTTCTATTTCTGTATAGTATTAGCATACCAGTCTGCATCAAATGCTTCACCCAAAATAAGGTAACTTTGGTGCTTTTACAATTCTCGTCTTACCTTCAAAGCCCTTCATGGCCTTGCTCCTCCCTACCTCTGTGACCTGCTACCTCCATATAGACCTGTTCACTTCCTCCTCTCAAGTGGGCTCTGGCCTGCTCCATGTCCCCCACCCATGCTGCCCCACCATCGATGGTTGGGCCTTCAGCCTTTCCGCTCCCATCCTTTGGAACTCCATCCCACAGTCCTTTCACCTCTCTCCCTCCCTTGCTCCTTCAAGGACCGTCTCAAGACCCTCCTCTTCAACTGTGCCTTCGGCCACCCTCCTACCTCTACATTCCCTGGCCTCCACTACTCCTGATACCAACCCCCAGCTCGGGTCTAAATCGCTTACTGTCAAGTACCTTGGGATGCCCTCCTGACATGAAAAGTGCTATACAAATGTAATTTTTTGTTGTTTTAAAAGTTGCTAGTGTTTTGACTAGGTGGTGTGAGGTTCTTTTTTCTAAAGACGTGAAAGGTACGACAACAAGCTTTATGACATTGGGAATTGGAGTAATGTGTCAATAGACAATGGAACCATTTAGCTGAGAAACAGATGGGATTCCTTGGCATTGTTTTCCGTGGCCTAGGTTGTTTATTGCTTCTTCCTCTGGTTTCGATAAAATGTGCCCAACCCAGATAAAAACTGGTTTCTGACCAGAGGTTCTGCTGTAATTGGACATAAATTTTCTTCGGTGCTGCCTTATGAGGTCGTATGCCAAATTCGTTGAGAACTTGTCATTTTTATATAATAATAATAATAATAATCCTTGCATTTGATATAGCGCTTTTCACGTAGGGAGGACGTCCCAAAGCACTTCACAGAACACACTGTAAAGTGAATTGACTGTATATTTGTGGGCGAACGCGGCAGCCAATTGCGCACAGCAATGTCCCACAAACAGTCGTAGATTGAAAATGACCAATTTATTATTGTTTTTGGTTTTTTTGGAGGGATTAGTATTAGGCGTGTGGAGTAAGGAAACTTGCCCAAGGTTTCGCCCTGCCTGGAATTGAACTCAGGTCTCTCGCTTGCAAAGCGAGTGCTTTAACCACTGAGCTACAGGACTCCTATATAGATAGATACCTGGGAAGTAAGAGCTTTGGAGATATGGAGCATAGGTGGGGAAACGATATTAAAGGATCTTTCACTTTCTAATAAATTGACACATCAGGCTGCATGGGCCAAATGTTCCTCCTGTTCCTACTCCTACGAATCACTTTGGGACCCATATACTGCCTTCATAACTTACACGATTAGAGCTGAACTGGTTGCAAAATTAATCCAGTAAGCCAAAGCCCTAATGGGCAGGACAATCCAAGCTGGTCAAGGGGCAGAAAGCTTGCAACAGTGCTTTCAAATGCACACTATGTAGTTTTAACTGGTTAAACTCCAGCATTACCCCAACACACACTATGGAGTCCTATTGCCAACTTATGCATAATACTCTCTGAAATTAGGTAAACCATGTGTCCTTCCATGGACAGAGTGTGTATTTCATTTCATATTTCATGGGGAAATTATCTTGTGTAGTATACATTGAACTCATGTCTGGTTTGGATACTCTTAAGCATGATGATGGCTTTCCATATGTGTCAGATATCCAGCTGACCCCCCAAAAAAGCACCTCCATATCTGATTGCGACCTACTGTTGGGTGTTTGAGGATGGGGCAAGGGGAGGAACCTGGCCTTGAATAAGAGGTAACTTGTAACAGAAACATACTCTTTCTAAAAAAAAGTATACTGATGCGGGAGCATGATCGTGCTCCGAGACACTTTCCTGTGTAAAGGGCACTATATAAATGCTGCTGTTGTTGAGTACTGTTTCCACTGCAGGTATGTCCCGTAAGCTTCCTTTCTCTTTTCCTCGTGACCTGAAAGGTACTATAGAAATGTAAAGTTGTTGTTATTGTTGTTTTGAGCTGCATCCAAACATGAGGGAATTATTGCCAGGTAGATAGAGACAAGGACATGTGTTCCATTTAAAAACAGCTTGATGCTGATGCGTATACAGTAAAATGGGCATTCTGGAAGGATGAGATAAAATGGGCCGAAGGGCCTTCTTCATCCATATTGATCTTACGATATTGGGAATAAATGAGTTTCATATAGGTCTCATTGTGGTTCAGAGCAATGGAATCTTACTGAATCTTAAACAGAAGGAACACAGCATTTAAACAATGAATCTGATAGAAAATGTAATGTATTCTGGGACTTCATCTTTTGTTCAATATCTTCCTACCAACTGTGATGTTAATCCTAATCCTCATATTGACTGTGGTTTGCAGGTATCTGTCTGATCTCCATGCACCAGGTGATCCTGCTTGGCAGTGTATTCTGGCTCAACACAAGTGGATCTTGCAACTGATGCAGAACTGCAGAGAGAATTATGTCAAAGGGCAAAAAGGCAAGTGGGTTTGTACTTTCTATGGCTCAGTGGGAACAAATTGTTTCAGTGAGTTAAAACACATGCATCCTGCAGAATACAGTTACTAAATAAATCTTGTGGAGAATGTCCGTTGTTCTGACTGGATCCTCTTCCATCCTGTTTTCTTTACCCCCTCTCTTCCCACCCCCTCCCCATCAAAAATATTGTGGAATTGTCATTTCTTTGGAGTTTTACAAAACTCTCACGAGGACACCTCTTCCACTATCCTGAGAACCAAAATTCCACCTAGTCTTATCATTTAAAGACCATTTTCTCTATAAAAGTTTGGGCTCGGACGAGTTCTAGAAAATTCCTAAAATTCAGATTTCCAAATGAAGCCTAAATACTGTTACTGAATAAATCTTGTGGAGAATGCCCTTTGTTCTTACTGTAGATAATAATAATAATAATCCTTGCATTTGATATAGCGCCTTATCACATCTCAAAGTGCTTCACAGAATGTACTGTAAAGTGAATCGATTGTATTTTTGTGGATAAAATGTTTCAGCCAATTGTGCACAGCAGTGTCCCACAAACAGTCGTGGATTCAGTGACCAAATTATTATTATTTTCTTTGGTAAAATCCTGTTTGATCCTGTTCCGTCCCTCCTGTTCTGAAATTCAGACTTCCAAATGAAGCCAGCAGTTAAGAACTGTTCATAATTCTGCCCCAACTTTTTAGACAAAATGGTCTTACAGGGTTTAGACTAGGTAGCATTTTAGGCCTCTGAAGTCTTATGCAACATTCGTGAGAGTGAGAGCAAGCTCCAGCATTTCCTGAAATGGAGACTGAAAGCTGCACTAGCTAAGCCAGCAACATACTGTCTGGAAACCTGTCAAAAATGTGACGATACATTGGCCTGCACTTAACTTCCAGAAACAATTTGCTTCATTGTTTATTTTTCATCATGTCTGTCCCCATGGTCTCCATGGGCCACACAGCTGACAGGTCAGGATGGGCATCCCAGTATCCCTCTGCCAATATCACTCTGATTTCACTGACCACTGGCAACAGCTCTCGATTCAGTTTTTACTTCTCCAGTTTGGGAGTCGCGTGGGCTCAGCAGCACAGCTGAGATGGTGTGTTTACTCATTGTCCTGGGGGACATCAAACCTAAATCACTAACTACCTATGTCTCTCTGAGTTGCTGCTGTGCTGTGGCTAGACATTACTTTGGCATGTCACAATGCTGTTCTTTTAACTCTCCGTGTACCAAAGAAACATCTTATGGTGCCTAACACCTTTGCAAAAGCTGTTTTAAATGTTGTAATATAAATTGGCTTAGGCTCATTGTTTTCTTTAAAGTGAAAATAGATTCATGCCCAACAATCCCGGCCCACATTTGTCCAGATAAAATTGGTCATTCACTTCGCGGCTGTTTGTGGGTCATTGCTGTCTGCAAGTTGGCAACCACGTTCGCCCACAAATACACAGTTAATACACTTTACAGTAATAACCCTGTGAAGCGTTTTGAGATAGCCTGGGTTCGATTCCCAGTTTCCTTATTCCACACGATTGCTTACCTAGCAGTAAGTAGGAATGTTGTCAGATCACTTTTCTTGGGCTAATAATCCTTTCAAAAAATTTTTTTATTTAAACTAATTAACTGGTCACTGAATCCATTACTGTTTGTGGGACACTGCTGTGTGCAATTGCCGCATTTTGCCCACAAAATATACAGTCAATTCACTTTACAGTATATTCTATGAACGCTTTGAAACATCTCGAAGATAAGAAGATATATTTCGAATTATCTCACCTTTTATGAGGTGCTTACAGTACAGGGTCTGACCCATCACAGTCATAATTATACTGCTCTCACACTCAACTCAGGGCAAATGCTGGTTAATTTGTAATATTATTGAAGAGCCAGGAGTCTTTCATAACATTCAAACTAATGTGGTGTCAAGGAACTTCTCATTTGAAATTCAAAGTTTGCTCTGTCCTGGCTCCAATAAGCTTGGAGTTTCCTTACAGCTGGTGTCAGAGTACTTCCTGGTCTTGTATTGAATCTTGAAATCAAAGAAACACTGTAGAATTTGTGTATGTTCAATGTGAAGCAATGATTTGGGATCAATGCCCACAATCTGTGAGGCATTATTTGACCGATTACTGCTTTGCAGAACAAGTTTGGCTTGATGAGTGGGGGAAGGAGAGGAGAAGGGAAAAGGGAAAACTGTATAAAATCACAACAATCCTAAAGCAGTGTGTGATAGATGGCACATTTAAACAATGAAGAATGTTAACTTGTTTTATATTGTTCATGCACAAAGTACATTATTAATCGTTCTGGCTCAGTTCATTGTTGCTTTAAATCTGTTTCCTCGTTTTTTAACCCTGTTTTTGGTCGTTTTGTTTACTTGGAGATGAAAAATATGAACTTTGGACAGCATAATGCAGCTATGGGAGTCTGCCTTGACTGTGCTCATCAAATTATTCCTTAATCTGAATTGTATTTATATTGTTGCGCACATATACTTAAGGTTCAGCTAAATTTGCGGGGGGAGGGGTGGGATTCTGAAGTCCGTCATCAATGACAATGTTGGGTTGTTTCTGACTTGGTACATGTCCATAACACAGATTTCAGAGGCCACAAAATGCATTTGAGTTCACACAACGTAGGCCAACTGGCTTGCTCAAATTGTTTTTCATGGAGTCGGGGGGTGGGGGGGGGGCAGTTGCGTGGGGACAAGGGATGACTGAGGGTGAGTAAAGTACATGTGAATTAAGTTTTGCTCTCCCATCGCTTTCCTATTTCTACTAAAGTTAAAAAAGGCTCTGCATGTTGGAGGAAAAGCTAAACTGATAACCGCAAATTCCAGCATTGCTGGTTAGGATTTGTGGTTAAGGACAACGGGGATACTGTGCAGGTTTTGAGTGCCAGCGCACACACAGCGTGTTCAATAATGCTACCAACATGCAGCTAACTGCTTTCTGTGATATATAGCCCCAGATTGAGACAGAATCTCACTGGTGTTGGCGGGGCTGGGGCTGGTCGCGGGGGTCTGATCATGGGGGGCTAGTGCTGGGGGGCTAGTTTTGGGGTGGTGGGGGCTGGTGTCTGGGCGACTGAGGGCTGGTGTGGGGGCTGGTGTTGGGTTGGGGGGCTGGTGTCTGGGGGCTGGTGTCTGAGGGAGGGAGGCTGGTAGTGGGGGCCCAGTCATGGGGGCCTGGTCATGGGGGCTGGTGGTGGATCTGGGGGTTGGGGGCTGGTGACTGGAGGCTGCTGTCTGGTAGTGGGGACTGGTGTCTGGGGGGCTGGTTTCTGGGGGACTTCAGTAGCAGCAGCAGATTCATAGCCGTAAAGAATTGCCTCTATGATGATTTATGTGTTGACTCTTGACGGTGTGTTTTGTTGGCTGTTGGATTTGTATCAAATTATAATTAAAAGACTGGTAGAAATGCCAACGTGTTTAATTGTCCCCAGGCAGCACTCTGGGCTGGTGGTTATTAATTCCTTGGCACAGTTCTGATCTTTTTTTCTCTGCCAGTTTTCTCTGCTTTTTTGACTTTTTTTTCCTTTAATTGGACATTGATTACTCTCTGGTACTTTATCCATGTGGCCATTAGTCACATTTTGATGGATTTCAGCCCTGATAGTGGGTGACAGGAGACTCCTCTTTCTTGGGTGGGGGGGAGAAAAGTGGTGAGGCATCATTCAAGCTGACCCTAACATCGTGCCATCACCTGAAGTGCAAACATATGCCTCCATGGGTTTCTGGGAAGCGATCAGGAATACAAACTGATGTTGCCCTTGCTAACCTAGGGTTCCTATCACCTTGGCTTCAGCCCAGCTGAAGATCTCTTTATCAAGGCTGAACGGATCAGTTATTCTCTGAATCTTCAAAGGAGCAATTATCTTAACTTCACAGATTATAGCATCAATACTATTTATGCTTGTATTTTTAGCAGATATTCAAAACCATTTTGATATCGTCAGAGGTTAGTAAAACACCTTAACGTTTTCAGCTGTTCAGCGCTTTCCAGCCTTGAGGTTCAGGTTGACATTCAGATCATTGAGACACACTGGTTTTGATGAAATGTGCATCTCCTCTTGCTATCCCATTTGATATTTGAAGGATGTCAGTCTCAATACAGCACCATTCGCACTTGAATTTACAATTAAAATATTTACTTATAATTTTTACAGAATCTTATTTAAAACTGGGGGAGTCATGAATCTTTCATGAGAACCTAAATAAAATATTCTGCCTTTGTTTTCTCAAATAGTACATTGTAACAGTTGTAATGAATATCTTTATTGCGTTGGTGACTTTGATTAGATGCTGTATTTAAAAAAAATGTTATTCTTATTACAGGCGAGTTCATGGTGTTATATGTATTTTCATATGAGGGGAGGAAATGAATGTGAAAATTTCACATGTTAATGTTGTAATGAACACTAAACTTCTTATCACAGGTTTTATTTTCCCTGTGTTATCATAACTCTGTGACTGTGCTGCACAGTTTTACTAAATGTATATTAAAAAAAATCCCTGTCTCTCGTTTTGATGTACGTTGACGAGAAAAACAAGACAGCTAACTTTATGGTTATTTTTGTTGTCCTGTTCTGGAGGCTTCAAAGCAATTCATTGTGCTGGTGATCTCTTCAAATGAATGTTGCTTTTGTTGTGAACGTGTTGATGTTCGTGAGACACCCCCCCCCCCCCCCCCCACCGCCACACCACCCAAATGATTTGATCAGTTTATTTGGTACAATTTCTGAGCTTTCTAAACTCTGTTCAACCATTTGTAGTTCACCTGTCCCGCTGGGGAGAATCACAGCAGCAATTTTAAGATCTTTTTTAAATTTGGCTGCACGTATATGCGTGTCCCTTCCTGAACAGTTTAAGGGGACGGAGGTCAGGCATCTTTCAGTTATTGTTTGTTTCCTTCTATTGTTACCAGTCACACCATAAAAAAATCTGTTTGCCGTGATATTTCTTCTGGACACTTTCAAGTAAATACCAGGGATAAG